TTGCCAGTTATATCTATCTAGTTAACTAGATTATCCTTCGTGTCATTTGACCTAGTCATAGTTTCAAGATGACCTTCGTTTACTACGGTTCGTCAACCAATAACGACCCTACACGGGCACCGGTTCGGTTGCATCGCGCCTTTTAACATGACTTCGCCCGCATGTATGCAGCTCGGGCCGACGGCCAACTAAACTGGCTTTAATGCTACGACGATTCTACATTAGCCATTCGACGATATCCCGTCGCAATTGGCGGACGGTTTTATTACAATTACAAAGACTCAGAATCCCTATGGATCCTAAGCTTAAGCCTAAGCCTAGGTAATCACTGACCTCTCGCCTTTTATTCGCCTTTTACTCGGGTCTAAGCCGCGCCATTGTTAGATGTGCGTTGGCCCGTTGGGGCGGCCCGGTCCCGGGCAGATACGACATCCGTCGGTGTTCTCTAAGCATACTACTTCGGATTACACAGCATCTTTACGAGCTTTTAGTCTTCCCCGAGGCAACCTACCTCCCCCTATTTCTTCCCTTCCCTTATCTTATTCTATACCATCCTGTCCCGTTCCTAGCATTGTACGACTCGAATGAGCTCTTACTGCCCCCTATGCAACCTGTCATCGCTACTTATTCGACTACCTTTGATACCAACATCGGAGAATGGCGGAAAGCTGCGTCTCGGGACCTAATTGGGCCAATGCGCTTACCGAATAGAGCGGGAAATATCAAGCAATAGTTCATTGCCAGTTGGCTTAATCTGCCTGGTCTAATCAACTATGAATCAGACCGACAAATCACTAACAAATAATAACTTCGTCACCTCGACCCCTTAGGAACACATAAATTACACAACTACATGGTGTAACATACAAGGCAGTCGCCCTCCTGTTTTCGATATCTCGTTCGGGAGCAATTGATAATGGCAGCCCCAATAAGTAGCATCACACTGGTCAAGCAAGGGGCGTAATATGATTCATGGCGAACTAGAGACAACTCAATACCTACCTAGGGACCTATCTAGGGACCTTCCGTAGTAAAAGTAAGAGTATTCATTATTCATTACTACTATCTATACGGCTGCCGTCATAGATCGGCTAGAATGGATTCCTTCCCGTTAAACCCGGTAATCCATCTGCCTATCCCGAACAAGGGCTGTCATTACCCCTGCATCTCTCATCGCCTCATGCACGACCCTTGCAGGTCCAGGATAATCTAAGATGTATGGCGGTTACGGCGTGTCAGCAACCAATAAGATTATCCAGAGCGGTTGAAACCCCTCCAAGGCGTCTACGATAGTGCCAACGTCAAAAAACAGAAGGGGATGGGCTGCCTTCTTAGTTACTAATACTAACCTTTAGATTCTTACGTTGGCTTTGGGGATTGGGGATTGGGTTACCGTCATTAGACGACTGGACAACTCCTTAGGCTTCGGATTGGTTACGCTGCACTACGGATTATATATTACGAAGTCACATTAGGCTTACCCTATAATATTGGTTCTATCGAAACCTGCCCTGTCAGCCTTGTATCAGAGTTATAGGGCACCCAACCAGGCAAAGTTTGCGAATTTTAACTTTGATGGCCCACCCAAGTCGCCGGGGACTTCTCTCTTCTTGTACAAGTTTGGCAGGGATCAACAGAACAAGGAGAAGTTCCACAATCGCGCGAGGTGCCGCCCCCAATCCTTATTCGCCAATCTTAAAGTGGCTTTAACTTTGCGGAGTTGGATATACACTCAGACACTCAGACACTCAGACTAAGTCTCAGACACTACGCTGGCAACACCATATCGAATAATTGGATTTACTGGATCACGATGCAGTATATGAAATATGAAATGTGTAATAGGGCAGAGTGGTGCCTAAATCACCAATCCAGCCATGATGTACAAGGCATCATTTCTGGCCGACAAATTTCGACACTAACCCCAGCCGTCAGGTCATCTTTGATACACTAGCTGTTGGGTATCTACCTGTGCCATGTAGTTTGGTAATGGCAATACCCTAGCGCGCAATCTGGCTATGCTGCGGTGATGAAGCACAACTGCAGGTTGACATGACGCAGGCAATTTACTCGACGCAGTGTTAAACGAATATAACAGAATCTTGCTTCCTGTCATACAAACCCTGTTGGACGCCTACTCTTGTGCTTGACTCCCTTCCGAGGTTACACTCTCAACTCGGACTGGCGGATTACCCAGGTTAGGTAGTCTTCCTGGCAAACCTCCACTCATCCAAGCTTGGCGAATATACTCTTGGCGAAATCCCATGTTCTCGTCGAGTTCGATCGCGAAGTATCTAAGTGGAAATGCGCTAAGCTTAGGAACTTCTTAGCTTCTCGACCTCCTCTACATAGGTTAATTGATTATCGAAACCCTCATAATCAACGTTCCCACCAACACTGGATAGGCTTTTCAAGCTGATACGCCACTGTCGAAAGGAACGCTCTTCGAGAATAGCTGTTCTCGTTTCGCCATAAGAAAACTCTTTCGCATATTGTTTAAAAGTTCAGAGCTTTTATTATCGTAACTCTAGCGTATCGGCCGTTGTCGTGTGTTTAACGGCCCATACGGAACTACTTTGATCGATAGGCTTACGACAGCGCACTCTAGAGCCCCCACGCAAATATACGATACCTAACTATTCCTTCATGATAATAGTAGTCTCATTGGCAACGATTATACTTTTTTAAATTTTCGAATCGACCGGATCAGAGGATTAAAGGCAACCTCGCTAATAATCTTACTAGCTAGCTAATTTATATGGTACTTCATCCATAGTCGCAAGAGGGTCCTATGTCTCGTGGGCAAGCAGGCTTCAGGAAAGGAATAGCTCATTTTATTATGATCATCTCCCCGATACCAACGAATATATCCAATTTTATAGTTTATATACGCACCCGAACCCCCCGGCAAAACTTCTGCACGTCCAATCCTTCGGCACGTGCCTTACCGCTGTCGTGCAGGTAGATCGGCTTTTCCCAGGTTTCGGCCGCCCGGAACACGGCGCACTGCTCGGTCGAATGAAATTGTTCACCATCGGCGGGAAAGCAACCCCGAGTGACAACTACCGATTCGGGTTAATATCCTGCACGACTCGGGCATCGCCAATCGTGGAAAACGACGCGACAACTATCCCCTCCGAATATCTACGTAGTGTTCAGCTTTGAGCGCCATATTCTACGACTTCATGGCTGTACCTAAACCGTTATGATCGACTTGGGGCCACTTGAGTGAGGTGTGAACAAAGCAAGAAACAAGTCAGACTAGATGGCGTACCTAGCCGCCAACAGCCAAAATTACTGCTAAGAAAAGCGCCCTTTTCGTTTCCACTCGAAATATCATTCACCGATATACTCACATGGTCGAGTTGGTACCAAATTCTATAATTATACTAACATAAAAGTGAGAAGTGGTGTAATGTGCCTCGTCCAAGCCACGGCGCATAGCCTGCCGTAAACTACCGTTGGCGGGACTGGACCCCAAGCCACCACCATCTTCTCAGCCCTACGGTCCCAGATTCCCAGATTCCAGATTCCAGCTTTACGTACGTTCCCATCATCATCGTCCCCGGACCCCAACCGGAATCTTACTCATCCCTAAAGAGAATACGGGAGTGCCATGTGTCTGATGCATGGTCATGGTCATTTTTATACACTCGAGGGGCGGAGGGATTCCCAATGCTCACGTGGCCTACATGTGGTCTAGACAGTACATTAATTAATTCGTTCGTTGCTTGTTGCTTGTTCATCTACGCGCCGGCCGCCACAACTTTATGCCACCTTTCTTCGCCAGCGAGATACTAAATACGGCAACTGGAACTTGAAACACGGGTCCACGCAGACACGATATGGTATTGCTTGTTGCTTATTGCTTATTGCTTATTACTTCTCATCTACCTATCTCCAATGCAAAACCAAAGTGTCGTAATTCCGCAGCACGTACGGAGAACCCGGAGCGACTCTGAAACCGGCCCCCTTCCCCCCCTCCCCCCTCCTCGACTCTTACTTACCTGGCCATGTAGATGGTTTCCTAGGAAAACCCGAGCCAACCTGGCGGATCTCGGAATACGACCTCGTTAGTATGTACACCATGCGCGTGCGGACACACGAGACGCATGTACGAATAGGCAGATAGGTATGTAGGATCGCGTCGATCCATGCATTGCATAGGTACTATTCACCCTGGACACTGGATTACATCTTCTACGTCTACGCCCTTCACTTGAGTAGGTACCTTTCATATTTGCAAAGGGGTCATAATTAGTAATAGGTAGGTAATTAATGCGTTTGCGACTAGCCAAGTTCTTCTTGACGGCGTAAGTATCTAGTAGGTACCTAAGGTAGGTATACGGAAGAGCGATTGGAAGCGATTCGCGGTTTCGCGATATCGAATTTCGCTTCGTTCTTCGCTCTCATCGATTACCTTAATTCCTACCGGCTGCAATGTGTCAGGTAGCTTAGGTAGCCTATCCATCACTTCACAAATAAAACAGTTTAGATTATTACCTAAGTTAATAGAGGCATTTATTCACTATGGGGTATGATGCTCTAACTGCCTAATCTGCCTGCCAGCCAGAACCGCCACACCTCGTAGCTCTTCTCATCTCATCGCCGTCATTTTCTTTTTACCTCCCTAGACGGTTCGTTATAAACTAAACTTGGACTCGAACTTGATATGTGGCGGGGTGAAAAAAAAAAGTCCAATCTGCCGCCCGTCGTCTACCGCAGGGGGATTGCGGGTGCGGAAAAAATAAAAAGAATAACAGACTGAATCAAATAACGATAACACAAAAAGCCAAAATAATGCCACTTTTCCTTTCTTGCTAGTTGTACAAGCATAGACCTGGAGGGGGAGAGAGACACCATCCACCATTCTTTCCTCCGCTATGCCTAAAACCTTTTTTTTATACTTTTTTGTCGTTCGAGAACGGTTTTTACTCTCTAATCTTGTAAAGATGTGATTGCCATGGTCATGCCAAAAAGGAACTTGTCTTCCCTCTATGGTGATGCATTAGGGGTCTTAGTAGAAGAAAGCTACTAGAGCGGGAGAAATAGAAGTAAACGGAAACCCCTTAAATGCAACATGTATAAAAGGCACGCAAGACGCCGTGGGTGTATATTATGCATAAGTGACTTAATCACCCTTGGGAGATGTAGGAGAGCTATCAAGTTAGTTAGTCTCAATTTAAGACCAGGAAAGGAAATGTTAAATGTTAGAACATACTATTTAGGGCTGGTGCTGCCGCCGGCACCGGGTGTTCTAGGGGAATATTGAGGAGACTAGACTTATGTTAGCACGGAGTCAGGGCCGTAATGATGCGTTAGGGACTAACCGTAGGCGAGTACTTGGGACTCGTTGGGGATTGCTGTGCTCCTGGAGCTCTGTGGAGCGGGCTCGTCGGAGAATAACCCGTCGGGGAGGTGGGCGAGTAGTTCGGCGACACAGGAGAGTAACTTGGTGAAGTAGCGCCTACATGATGAGGAGATGTGGGACTGTAGGCGGGACTTGTCGGGGAGTAACTCGGTGACGTAGGCGAGTTCATATTAGGTGATGATGGAGAATAATGCCTGGGCGATGTAGGAGACGTAGGAGAGTAGACAGGCGACGTGGGACTGTAGTTCGGGCTCGACGGGCTTGCACCTCTGAACTGAGGTGAACTGGGGGAGAAGGATGGAGAGGATGGGCTAAAGCGCGGTGAGCTGTTGTATTGACCTCCAATCATCGGCGATGCCGGCGAATAGCTGCCGCTAGGTGAACTTGGAGAATAGCCACCAGCACCATAACTGCTGAAAGGAGAAGACGGAGAGGCGCCACCAGAGAATGGACTTGTAGCGCCTGGGCTTCGTCCTCCGTACGGGCTAGCACTTCCAAACCCTCCGTATTCTGTTCCGAAGCCTGAAGGCGAGTCGGAGCCGGCTCCAACAATAGGCGAGAAATTGCCCATACCCATGGATGGGGAGGCCAGGGATATTCCATAACCAGAATCGGCCATCGGCGAACCAGTGTCGTATGGTGTCGCAGCACCTTCGATCGAACCTCCCTTGACAGCCATTCCAGGCATCAAACCCATCCTGGAGTTATCCGAGATGACCGTTTCAAGCATCTTGGGGTCGAGGAAGACATCAAGGTGGCCTGTCCCCATGGGAGCAAGCTGACCAAGCATAACGTTTTGCGAGATACCCTTGCAGTCGTCTACTTCACCCATTGCAGCAGCCTCTAAGAGAATTTCGACGGTCTCCTCAAAGGAACATCTCATCAAGGCTCCAGTGTCAGCTCTGTTGATACCATGACGAGTAACCGCGGCAATACTGCCTCTGTATGTCATGACATCGACCAAGAGAGAAAGATGTCGCTCATTGACGTACGAACCGTCGAAAGCCAGCACTCGTCTCAATTCGTTGAGAAGCGCACCTCGAGCCGCTTCGATACCGAATACATCAACAGTCTGCCATAAGTCGTTGGTAATAGTACGCTTGGCGTCTACGCCAGGAACTGCCAGGACATCTCGCAAAGCCGTGCCAGTAGTGTCAAGGTACCATTCCTCACAGAGCGGGCTATCCTTCGATTGAATCATAGCGCCGCTCTTGTCAATGGCGATTCTCGTTCCTTTGTTTAGGAAAGCACGCTCAATGCCCTTGATTCCACGGAGTGTAAGGTTCTCTAGAAGATGTTCGCCTAACCGCTTCAGCATCACGTCATCTTCGATGCTCTTCTCGGGATCATCCTTATCTTCCGGCATCGGGCGGATGCGAATCACCTGCTGATCCGCGTTATTGTCACTACAGATAACGGCTAAATCAGTAGGATATTCTTCTCTGAGGCGGATCGCAACATCTTCCACGGTGAGACCCTTGTCGAGCATCTTCTGTCGATCTAGAACGAAACGAAGTAGCCATCGCGACTGCCTATCAATAGGGGGCTGGCTATCGTCAGGAAGCAAGAAATAAGAGCTAATAAAGTCCTCATCTTGCTCGATTTGCGTCGACTCAATGTCAGGGTCGTAATAGATCTCGGTCATTGCCGTGACGGAGCGTAGATTAGTGTGCTCGACCGCACTTCGAAGCTTCTTTGCATGGTCCTGGGATGTGTTACCGTCCAAGTAAACCATCATCGAAGGTGTCTTGATGTTGCTGGCAACATTGAGAATTTCCTTTAGACGAGGCACACCAAGAGTGACGTTCTTTGAGGAGATACCCGTGAAATGGAAAGTGTTCAGAGTCATCTGAGTTGCAGGCTCACCGATTGACTGCGCAGCCAATACACCAACCATCTCACCGGGGTTTACCATTGCCCTGGACCATCGGTTTTCTAGCTCGCCAATAACGTGTCGGAAAGCCAGCTTGTCCAGGCGGTGGTGTACCGCAAGACGCTTGTATGCCAATCGTGAACGGAGTAAGGCCTTGAAGAGTAAGGTCGAGTTGTCGTCAGCTTCCCGAGACACTTCATCAGAGCCACGAACCACAACCATTCGCTCTAATAGATCCTTCACCACGGGGATGACATCTTGAGGCAAGAGGTTGCTTCGTCTTGCATCATCAACTTTAAGGAGCTTCTTGGATGACTCGATAATACGGCCTGTGTTCAGGGGAAGCTGGAACATTTCTTCAAGCTTCTCAGAATCCTTCTTCAGATCTCGAAGGTACTCGCGATCTTTGCAAATGGCTTCCCATTCCATATCCAAAAGTTCCTGAACATGTGCGTCGCCAATGAGGTCTTGCCCATATTCCAGAGCATCGAGCACACGCGGGCGAAGACCCTCCATTACGTCGATGCGGTACCGGTCCTCGAAATCAGCATCTCTAATAACCCAGTGATCCATGGGCTGCTTCTCGATGTGCATAGCATCGAGACCATCCTCACCATAGATGAACTGAATGATATCGCCAAGCGAATTGCGAACCGTACCATCGTATCGAGCAGAAACATCCTCGAGGGCTTTGACAAGACGACGTTGAATGTAACCGGTTTCGGCCGTCTTGACGGCAGTATCAATGAGACCTTCACGACCAGCCATAGCGTGGAAGAAGAACTCCGAAGGGGTTAAGCCACGAAGATACGAATTCTCGACAAATCCACGGGCTTCCGGCGAATAGTCATCCTTGGTGAAATGCGGCAAAGTTCGATATTTAAAGCCGAAGGGAATACGCTTGCCTTCAACGATTTGCTGGCCGACAAGGGCAGTCATCTGGGAGATATTGATGGACGAACCCTTCGAACCAGAACGAGCCATAACTACAGCGTTGTTGATATCCTTTAGACTGTTCTCAGTGGTGGTACCCGCCTTGTCACGGGCGGAGTTGAGAGCCTTAGAAACCTTGCTTTCGAAGGTTTCTCGAACGTTCATACCAGGGAGAGCTTCTAGCTCATTTGCTGTTGCCTGTGCGGTCAACCGGGCTACCTCTTCTTTCTGCTCATTGATGTGAACCTGGATCTTCTCAATCGTTATCTTGTCTGGAATTGTATCACCAATACCAATGCTGTGACCATTGTGCAAGAGCCAGTAATTCACAACGCGTTGGCACCCGTTAAGAAAAGCCATCGCGCCTTCAGGACCGAGCTCATTGTAACAAAGATGAATGATACCTCCACTAGAGGCACCGACATTCTTCTTTGTAAGCAGGCCGAAAAGCAGCTGTCCAGACTGGACAAGGAGCCCGTCATCTACTAATGGGAGCCACGGGCCGCTCTGAGGTTTGGTATAGATACTGATCTCCTTCGGGATGATCATGCTAACGATCTGTTTTCCTGTCCAGCGAGGTCTCGGCCTGAGGATGGCAGGCTGGGGGATAACGCCATCCCAATCAGGCACCCACAGCATGATATTGTAGACCTGCTCCTTGGTCATGAATACATCCCGACGACACATCTTGTACACACCAGCCAGAGTATCCTGGACAATACCCATCAACGGTCCGTTACGTTGGGGCGAAACAATGTTCAGAGGCACCATGCAAAGCTCGCGAATCTCAGCCCGCGTTTCCTCAGTCTGTGGTACGTGAAGATTCATTTCATCGCCATCGAAATCGGCGTTATAAGGTGAGGTGACGGACAGATTCAATCGGAAAGTGGAATAAGGCATGACCTTGACTCTGTGACCCATCATGGACTCCTTGTGAAGAGACGGCTGACGATTGAAGATGATGTAATCGCCATCTTGAAGATGTCGTTCGACTTTCCAACCATACTCGAGATTGATTTGACCAGCACGTTTGTGATGTCGCAGATCGATTCTAGATCCATCTGTTCGGACAACATACTTGGCGCCGGGGTGTTCGTTCGGTCCATTCTGGACGAGCTTGTGAAGGCGAGAAATATTGTACGGCGTGACAGTCTCAGGATATGTCAATGTTCGTGCAATACTCTTGGGAACACCAACTTCGTCGAGCGAGATATTTGCGTCACCAGTGATGACAGTACGGGCTGAAAAATCGACACGCTTACCCATCAAGTTACCACGTAGTCGACCTTCTTTTCCCTTTAGACGTGCTCGAATGGACTTAACCGGACGACCGCTCTTCTGTAGCGCCTGAGGCTGACCGGCTATATCGTTATCCATCATAGTGGCAACATGGTACTGTAAGAGTTGTTGGAATTCTTCAAGGATGTGAGCAGGTGCAGCTGTCTGAATCGCCTGGCGGACGTTGCTGTTGGCACGGATAATATCACCTAATTTGTAGGTCAAGTCGTCTTCATTTCTTAGGCCTTGGCCGGTACCATCCATAGAAATACTAGGACGAACCGGAGGTGGTGGGACAGGCAACACCGTAAGAATCATGTTTTCGGGTCGAGCATACTCCGTATTTAAGCCCATATCCCGGCAGTCCTCATCAGTGATGCGCTTTAGGATGTTGAGAACCTCGGTAGCTTTGAGCTCTTTCTTCTCGTTGGCCTTAACACCATCCTCGTTCACCGTCTTTTGGTGGGACCATAGTTGGAGAGCCGTTTGACGGATTGCAGGCTGGAGGCTGCCGCAACCACCATGGCCTTCAGACTTGGGTTTGCTACCTGGTTCATATTCCTTGTCCTCGTCCTTTGGAGTCTCGTTACTACAAACTCGCTTACCCTTGCAGACAACCCAAATGGCCTGGAAGCGCTTTTTCGGGTCTCGAATATTCACTGCAGCCTGGAATTCTGGATTGCTCTAGGTGCGGTCAGCATCAACAAGATTCAGGTTAGCTAGGAAGTAAGAAGATACTGACTCTGTCTTCCAGAACCTTGCTACAGTACGGGCAGACGATCTCTAGTATCTTCTTGACTTTCTTGATGTAACCGGGGTGATAGACAGCCGTGGCCAATTCAATGTGACCAAAATGGCCATTGCATTCGGCCATAGGCTCTAAACAAGTGGCACACTTGAACTGGCGGTCTACCGAGCCAAGACGGGGGTCATTTAGACCATTCATACGAGGCTTCGTCCGGGTTTCGTCCATAGTCTCGGGGTAAGTGATTGCCGCAACGCTCGCACCCTTGATCTCCTCGGGCGAGAGAAGACTGAATTGAATCTCTTTGATGTCCTTGAGAGGCGCATCAGAGTGCGCGAAATGAAGGTTCGCCATCTTGATGGATTCGTTGATTGATAAATATTAGTAGTTGAGTTCGTAATTTGATGAAAATTCTTGATGATCGCGTGGAAAGAATGGTTTCTGTTAATGCGCGATGCGTGCAAAGGCCTGGGTCGAAATGAGGGTGCGGTAAAAAATAATAAAAAAGTAGTGAGTTGTATTATTCCGTCGGATCGTGACTCGTAGAGAAGAAAATAATGCCGGCCAGGGAGCCGAATTATTTACAACTGGCGGCAAAATGCACAATAGACGTGCTCGTTAATACAAGAAAGAATGGCGCTGGAGGGCCGTTTCCAACCAGGCCAAAGGCCCGAGGAACACGATTAGTACCGTTCCAGCGCGCGCGCAGGTCGAAAAGGAATCGCGATAATCGAAAAATCACTATGCAGGCACGATAGTTAGTTTCGGACAGTCGCAGGGAGGGGACTGATTCGGTATCCGGAGCGCGTCGTGATGTTTCGTCAATCGTAAGATTGTTGTTATGGGTAGTAAGAAGTCTTTCTTGGAAGGAGTTGAGAGGACCAAGGAATAGTGAGGCAGAAGCCGCCACGATTACACGCTAAACCAGATAAGGAACAATGGGTCCTCGGAAGCAAATTTCTCCATGCGGCTGATGGAGGCAAATTGGAAGGTACCTTAGGTACATACCTACCTAAAAATCCCCTAAATGATGTGATGCGAAACAAGTATGTACATATATATGTACCTAGGGTTCCCCCACACAAAACCTTGATGTACATTAACGCCAGAGGCTTGGTGTAGCTTCAGAGTCACAGACAACCCAAACTTTAAAATATAAGTCGATCAATGCATGCACTTACGTGTAGGTACATGTAGGTATTCGAGAATTCATTCAACTTAAGGTTTGGTCGTGTGACCTTGGCGAAAACATTGCAACTGCCCGATGAGTCAAGTCAAACAAGTCAAACAACGGCCAGAGATTATGTGTTTACATACGTACATTCCACAAAGGATCCAGTATTTACCTACGGCATCAATTCACTAACCCGCGTGACGCACACCCGCAAATATCGTCAAACGACTAGTTCTACAAACACACATTGAAACAGCGTTTAAATAATTGCTTTTATTAGGCAGTTACTCACTGCTAGGGGACTAGTCTTATTAGGAAGCCACTAGAAGGACCAACTTCAAGGTACTATTATATCACTTCTTCCTACCTCTCGTTCCCTTTGCAGCTGCTTTCTTGTTGCCTCCAGCTACCTTTTCTTCATCCGGAACCTCACCCTCGTGGCCTTCGCCCAAACTCCTTCGCCGAACCGTGCCCGTCGACACTGCAACGAACTCCTCCTCGCTGTCGCTCTCGCCAAGATTAAATAGTACGGGCATCCGGAATTCTGCGCCGTCGATCTCCTCGTGATAACCCCTGCCCGGGTCCGATGTTAATACGTCGATATCCTCGTCTTCCCTGTCCAGCCTGCGCTTGTTGATCTCCTCCTGCGGGTGGATATCGAACTCGTCCTCCCTTTCTATGTACTCTACATTCTCTTCGACCTCGACGAAGTCCGGTGCCAGTGCCGACCAGCGCTGTGGCGTGGTCACCGACCAGATGTAGATGCGACCGGTTTCGAGTCCGCAGGCAGCTAGTACAGCTCGGTGCGGGTGCCACTCGATAACTCCTTGCTCCTCCTTAGGCCCCTCCAGCATTCGTACCAAACTACCATGATTTCGTTCCCATATATACAATTCGTGATTATTATATGTAGAAGCTGCCACGTATTCTCCGGTGGCGCTGAATGTGACATGGTTCCAAGAAAGTCTGTTGACAACATCCTGAAATTTGTGCTCTAATGGCATCTGTATCGTATCGGGGTCGAGATCCTCTGCTGATAGATTTGGTACATGGAAGGTTCTGATGATACGATCCTGCGAATTGGCCAATAATTCACGGCCAGATCCTGTCAGCCGTAATGTAGTCACTACCGAACTGCATATCTTCTCGGACCATATGATTTCGCGGCTGGTCGCGTCTATAATGTTGAGACGACCTTTATTTGTACCGGCCAGGATATGATCACCTGTGGCTGTCCAGACGGTGGCAGTTGTCATCTGTTTTGCGTCTTCTTTGGCATGTTTCTCCTTCGTCGCTGCATCGACGTCGGCATTGGCCCGTTTCGGCGCAGAGGGAAGGGTATGTTTGACATCGCTCGGGCCACTCACGTCAACAATAGAAGGGGCTTCATCGAATACGGAAGCAACGAATAGGTTACTATAATGGGCGTTATGGTCAGCGCTTCTAGTCATTGGATCGTGAATATGGGCAATGCTTACTGATTCCAAGGATGCAAATCTGCCGTGTAGATAGGTGCACGAAAGCGCACTTCTCGATACCTCGTGCCGTCTTGAAGATCCCATAAAACAGCCCTCCAGCCCTGACAAGCAGATAGCAAATAGCGCCCACATCTGGACCAGCTAAGTGAAGTTATTGCCGCTCTATGACCTCTCAACTTCCGCGCCACGCCCATCGTTTCGAGGTCCCAAACTACTACTGTGCCATCGACGCGACCTGAGGCCAAGTAGTCGCCTCTGCGATTGAAGCGGAGACATGTCGTATGACCGGAACGGATCGTATTTGTGATATTCTCGGGGTAGTCCTGGAGCAGGTAGTCGTCGGAAAGCAGCAGATTCATGTCGGCGCGTTCATGTCCTGCGGCTAGGGAAAGGATACTAAGTCGTCTGCAATGTGCTGATTGGGTGTCGAGGCATGAATAGGTATACGACTGTCGAGTAATTGTCCCACAGGTATCACAGGTATTGCAATTTAAAGTTGTAACTGTATCCGATATTTTTCAAATCCGGGCAGCTTCCATCAAGCATGTGGTAGAGGCAGGTTATGTACCTTCGTAGCCTTGCAGTTCGTGCAGATCCAAGCTCGCAGGGATCTTGACAGGTACTTCTCAGATGTCCCCACTAGTTCCCCACTCTGCAACAATCCCAGCAGTGGGCGTCGATGACTCAGCACTGATAATCTATAAGTACCTATCAAAGTACTTTTTTATATGTACGAAGTACGATCTCCCATTAGCATCTGAACATGAAGTATTTACTCTATACGCATCTATTTATAGTATCTTTCCTACGATAAAGCCAACGAAATGGCTAACTCGAGGCAAGTTATTCCCTTTAGCCCAACCTGTGAATATTATATAACCTACCTCAGTTAACCCTAACCTCAGATTTGAATATGTCAAACAATTCGAGCAAGTCGACAACCTACTGCCGAATACCTGGATTGTGGTTAGAATAGACGGTAGAGGATTCACAAAGTAAATACTCCCAAATATGAATATTCTTGTCTCCTTGATCCTATTCTGATATGTACCTAATTAATGAGATAGATTATGTGCCAAATATAACTTCGAGAAACCCAATGACCGTAGAGCTCTTGACTTGATGAACGCTGCTGCTAAAGCCGTCGTAACCGAAATCCACGACATAACTATCGCTTACGGTGTTAGCGATGAGTTCAGGTATTATCTGCTGCCCATGGAAAGGTAAATGACCGATACTAAGTTTCATCAGCTTTGTCTTCCACAAGTCATGTACTCTATTCGAAAGGAGGGCGAGGTAAGCCACTCACTCAGGAGCCACAACGTTTGATTACATACATCTTACTCAAAGTGTGTAGCAAAATCGTTTCAACGATAGTATCGACGTTTACTGCATACTACATCCACCTATGGTCAACTTACTTTCCAGATACGCCATTATCGCCACCGCTTCCTAGCTTTGATGGCCGAGCTGTTTGCTACCCCAGCGTACAGAACCTACGGGACTATATGAGCTGGCGCCAGGTAGACTGTGAGTATTCTTCCGGTATCTAGTATCTAGCTAAATCAAAGACGCTGATGAAACAATAGGCCACATCAACAATTTGTATAACACTACGTTCTGGTCGCTTGTCCAGCTACCCCCCGGGATGGATGCCAAGGCTGCCGAGCAGCTATTATCTGTGAGTTGCCCTACTCCCACGACGAAGCTACCTAGTCTAACCGGTATCCAGGGTACTCTCGCAGCCGATAAACATGAGCTTCTATTCTCTAGATTCAAAATCAACTATAACAACGAGCCGGAGATTTTCAAGAAAGGGAGCGTAATATATCGAGATGTCAGTTATGTTCACTACTCCGTACCTATAGTTTGACCGTAGCGTTAACATAACATATGCAGTACGAACTCGTCGAGCCTGGCAACCACGACGTAGCTAAGACCGCTGATGAGCTGGCAGAAGCCGTACGACAGTCCAAAACGCAGGATGACAAAGACAAAAAGCGACGGGCGAAGGCGAAAGTGCTGGTCGACCATGTAGACATTATAAAGGACGACTTCTGGGAGAGACGGCCGTGGATACTGTCAAATAAACCAGGCAAGATTCCCAAGGAAACGTAATAAATTCTATCCAAACCAACTCAGGACATCCCTTCACTCCAATCAAGTTAGGTACATGTGGCGCTTTAGAGACATCAATTCAAACACAATGGGAAGTAATCTACGAATACCTAGACAAGCGGTCGTAGGGTACACTTGGGACGTTGAGGATATCGTCGGGGTAGTCATAGCTGTAATTTTCTTCCTCTTCATTATCGTGGCTATAAATGCTGCAGCATGGGGATGCTGCGGCAACGCACAACGGAGACAGCAACAGCAACCTGCTCAAGAGGAGCATGAGCTACAACAGTAAGCGGGCTGTCCATCCCCGGTAATTAACTCCGTCCTGAAAAAGATGCTAACTCGATGAACCCTTCGGCATAGGTCCACAGGTGCGCCGCAGAATGCACCACAGAGCTAATATATCACATCTCAGCCATCATAAACCCGAGGAGAGACGTTTTGGGTATAAGAACTTCAATGAGTAAATCGCTTTCTTCTCCTGACATCCCCTAGTCAGCCCCCAGATGCCGCTTTAAGCCGTCTCTTCTCTTCTTTCCGCTTCCTCCTCGCCTCTCTCCTCGCGCGACGCTCTTCTTTCGTCTCTGCAGCCTTAATCTGTTCCCGCTCCGCCTTCTTCGCCTTCTTCTTCTTCTCGACTTTCCTCGCAGCTCGTTCCTCTGCCTCTTTCCTCGCTTGCTTCTCTGCCTTTCGTAGCCTCTTAGCTTGTCTTCTAGCCTTCCTCTCTTCTTTTGTCTCTTTTCCGTCTACACTGGCACAAGCCTCTGGCGTGCCAACACCGCTATCCGGGGGCGTCGGAAGTCCCGTCGACAGGTTCTGGCCCACGGTCCCTTCTATGACTCCGCCGCGTACGAATGAAGAGTATAGGCCCCGTGTGCCTGTATATTTGCCAGCTGCGCCGCGGGAGGTAATTTTTTCAAGCGCGCCGCCTTTCAGGGTCTGCTTCATGGTGCCGCTCTTGGTGTCGATGCCCTTGAGGGCCTGGTCGAAGGCATTTAGCCACCATGCCTCGGCCTTGTGATCGCCTTTCTTACTCCCGAGCCCGCTGCCGTCGTCGTTGCGCTTCATCAGCAAGTGGTGCGTTAATCCTGTGCTGTCGCTCGTCGGGTGCAGAGTGTGTCCTTTGCCCCGCCACCCTTGGGCGGTTAGGAGGGCGTGCGCGTCCATTATATGGATAGTAGGGTTGGCTGTCGGTCGGGCAGGTATATCATGGGCCTGGTGTATATATGCCCTTCTCAAAATTTATATCAAGGGTGCATGTTGTGTTTTTGTAATGATGGCTTATGAGAGTTGCATCTGTCATCGAAACCTTGGAAATTGCATTCGGCGCAAAGTTGAAAGATGGGAAAATTTTAGTGGGCTTAATTGAGTTATCTATATGGCTTAATTGCATTGATGATGATGATGAGAACGTTTACGTCTATTGCTTAATTGCATTGAACCTGCTCGTTGGTCGATTTGTCTTAGTGCTACTTTCATGGAAGTGATCCGGTTGAACATAAAGTTTTCTTTTTTTCTACGGATACATTTCGGATGATTTAAACCGTAAAAGTATGATATAAATAGTAATTTCCTATAATTTAAGTTGGATGCATACCTAAATTTTAAAACACGGTCTCTTGGATTGTTGACTAGGACTGGTCTGGCTATTAAAGTGATACTACTACCAGATCCTTCCGTAAGCATACTCCTGTATTGCTAGCATTATGTTCCAGATATGCAAGAATTAAATCGTGAAACTGATCGGATAAACTTTCATAGTAGGTAATGATCTAAATAGTAGCTAGTGTAAAACAAAAAATATAGAATAGTAAGGTGGCTCTTGGGAACATAACAGGTAGCTACTGGCCATTAACTACCATACAAAAGTAATATAATACAATACCTTACTACTTAGGTAGATATTTTCTATCAGGTACCAGGTACCCAAAACGTACCTACATGGACAATACAATACAAGTTCATGTTGCCTGGTTGCCCAGCTACATCATACTTCGTGACAAAAGGACCCCGGGACTGGTTTTTAGGTACCTGATCCACTAATAGGGCTGGAAAATAAGCGCGTAGGCGCGGGATGTCTCACCAAAAGGTACCTAAGGTACGTACAACATCACCGCTAAACCTGGACCCCGCAACTGCCAGTAGTGAACTTGGAGGTTATCACCATGGAAATTAAATTTATGTTTACCAACCTTTAACCTCCTCCTCCTCCTCCTCAACAACAACAACAACCAAAAAACACATCGCAATATTCAGCGCCCGCCTTCTATCCTGTATCTACATTGCTACGCTATCTTTACTAGCAATTGGATCAATATCTCTAAATCAATCACTCATTTGATATAGTTATTATCAAATATTTACCTTCTTTCATCTTTCATTAGTATCGCTATCCTCTCTGAAGTGACAACCTTCAGATCAGCGCAACACTACGAGCAAAACAGAAGCCCAAAGCCAACCAACCCTATAGAAATTGAAGTCCTCTCTAAAAAGGAACCAACCAAACAACCAAAAAACACCATGCTCCGTCGCCCACCAACAACGCTTACCCTCACCGCCGAAGATGTCGCCGCGTACGAAGACCGCCGTTTCGCAGCCATGCAAGCCCAATCGCAAAACCAGACAAGCTCACGTGCCCCCTCTCACCCGTTACAACCGCAACCTACCGCAATGGACACTTCTTCCTCATCCTCATCCGTAACCCCGTCGCCGCCACGAATCGAAGACGACGAGGACATGCAAGACGTGGACGTGGACGTGGACGTAGACGAAGCCGATATAAGTGACCCCTTCGTAATGGCGCCCCGCCGCGCCGCCCGCGAGCAATTCAACAGGCGCGAGCAGTCCCCCGGCCAGGCACGCGCCGCATACCTTCAGCAAGTGCGAGCAACACGGAGCCAACACGCCACCACTCCAACCGCACCAGCGCCCTCGACACGAATGCAGCGGATCACGGGCACAGGGCAGACAGGAGGAAGGACGACAGGGACGGCTCGATCAGCGACTAGTAGACAGGGAAGCACGGAGCCAACCACCGCGGCCCCACCGCAAGCGCCGCGTATGATGACACGGAGTAGAGAGGAGCGGATAGGTATTACGGGATCGACAGCGGGGACGGGGTCGAGACGGCGTTAGGACCCCGCCATTGCGACCATCCGTTAAATTTTGCGTCGTTAGCGTGGGCGTGGCGTGGCGTATCTGGCTGTTGCTTCTTGCCTTTAAGGATTAAGGAACTGGATCAATATGGGAATGGAGGCAACAACAACTAAGGAAACACTTGATTTGATATGCTAGCTGTGCTAGAAAGAGCGAAATAGTAAGTCTATCCCATCTCCTATGGTCATTATTTCTCGTGGTTCCCGAGTCTCGAAAAATGGCCGACCTATATCCAAGGGCTATCCTATACCTGGGACTATATTTTCGATAAATATATTACTAATGTTTATTCCACAGTGAACACTTCCAATATATATATAAGATGCACAAATACTCTCGTCACCCCTGTGCAAATATTGCTTAGGCAGTCCAATCCAGCATTTTCACCATGGCTCAACACCAAATCCAACATACTCAGCTCACTACAACTAACAGCGCCTTACCTACCTAACCTACTCTCCTCATCCCCCCCCCCCCTTCTCCCCACAACAAACCAAGCACCAACCCCCTCAACCCATCCCCCCATCTATCAAAGTACAGCGAAACCCCTCCCAGAAGAAGAAATTCCATCCAGCCACAAGCTCGCCCACGCACAGAACCCCAGCATTTCGCATCAATCGCGAGATAGCCCACGGCTCTTCTGTGCTCTCCAAGAGCGACTTCGTCTCTGCTAGTCAGTCAAGCGCTGCCGAACTAGCTTAGGTAGCTGCATATTGCATAGCAGAGACGATTTAATGTGGCAAAGATTGGACTTCTTCCTACGGGAGAGGTGGAGACTAGGAAATGATTGATGTCTGGGGCGGCGGGTTTTAACGGATGCTGCGTGTCTTGCTTGTTGCGTGTGAGACGGGGCGGGTGAGTGGTGGGTATGGATGGGGGGTGGGCGTCTGCTCGTTTATGTGAAGCTTTCCAAATGCCTTGGCGAAAACTAAAAGCAGAGGAAAGACGAGATAGATATCCAACGAGGATGGCGAAAATCCGAAGTCGATTCCAATTCGCCCCAAACTTAGAGCTTCTCGAAGGGCTGAGGTTAGTTTTCTCCCCCCAGGCTCTCTTTGCTGTGTAACTAAAGAAACATGTTGACCTCTATTATTTTATTATTGTAGTGCTGCAAAGCGGACTCGAATAACGAAGCAGAGGGAGGCGAAGAGATATATATATCTCTTAGAACTGCGATTAGATCGTATTAGAGCTTGGAGATGATCATTGGCTACCTTGTTAGCGCCCCCGGTATATGGGATACAAAAGCTACCTATGTATACTACATGGATGTCTAGAAAGTAATAATTGATCAGGGCTGAAGCCATATTCGCTAATGTCAAAACTATAACCAAAAAAGATATCTCGAGCGTATTGGGGAATACTATCTATCCATCTACGAATCTGGAGCTGGGTCTAGTATATCACATACGCAAAACACGATTACGCCTTGCTACACCTCTACAGGTAATAGATCATTGCACTCTGCATTTAGAAAGACTGCGTAATCAACGCCACCTATTAGATAGGCTTGACTAGTAATACACACACACACACACACTTGGTCCATCGCTTTCCTGCCTTCGCCCGCTGCTAAGACTCGATGCCAGGACCAGCAGATAGCAACAGTAGCCTACTCATTGCAAGTTTTGAGGTGTTAAATCCATCCACCCCTTCGCCTATTCACTAACCACTGTCCACCTAATCATCGTTTCCTAGTGTACCTAACTCACACGCACGGGAGAAAAAAAAAAGGCAACTACATTTTGGCCGGAGTCATATCCTCTTGTTCCCAACGCCAATGCCATGCCATGCAAAAAAGAAGTGAAAATATTTGCGAACAAAAGGGGGCTAGGTAATCCCACCAAGTTTAGCGGGTACCATCTAGCTCCGTATACTCGAGCAGAACAAACATTCATTACTGTATTTTAAGTCCCTGGTGACCCCGACGTAGGCGGCTTCAGCTTGATCTTTAGCTTGGGAGGGCCTTTCGGTGCCGGAGGGGACGAGGACGGTTGAGGTTGCTTCGGCGGCGCGGGATTAGCCGACGCAACTGACGGGAGTGGCTTGCGCATTTCTGGAAGAGGCTTTCTAGGCTTTCCATTGCTTCCGCCCGATTGGGAGGAATGTGACGGTGCCTTAAAGGAAGAATTGGGTTTAGTAGGGTGGTTCTGAGAGGAGGATTGTGCTGCCGAAGATGATTTCATAGGGGCAAAATCCGAAGCCCTAGCAGCAGGCGAGGCCGGACGAGCGCCTTGACGTGGGTTGGTGCCGCTTAGTTTATCCTCAGGTCTACGATGCTTAAGTGTAGCTCGGATTGAACCAGACTGAGGTACATTGTCTTTGCGTCTGCGTATTCTTTCCCAGGCCTTGAACTTTACTGTGACCAGCATCTTAGCCTTCGGCCGTTTTCCGAGTTTCTCCAATTCCGTCCGAGGAATCCTAGAGGTATCAAGTTTGACCATTTTGGTCGGCCGAGGGCCATCGCCTTCAGTGCTGGCCCGTTTAAGGGGCTTCGAATGTTTCGGAGGAGCTAAATGACTGCTTACACTAGCCTTCGAAGGCGCCGGTCTTGGCTCGGGTGGCGGAAGTTCGACCGTAGGTCGTACAGGGGCCTGGACGGAAATGCTGTCTTTGTGAGAATCGCCTATTTTGGGCCTTTCGTGAGAAGAACTCGATGAAGAAGCTTTCTGGGATGTGGCTATGGCGATGGACTGTTTTGCCTGTTTTTGGATGGGTTTTTCTTTCGATTCCTGGGTGGCGGACTGCTTCATATGAGGAACAGGCTCTCTTTCCTTCGACGTAAACGAGGGCTTTAAAGAAGGAAGTGTCGTAGGCTTGGGTGTAGGAACAGCTTCTAAAGGTTTTGGAGTGGGGGCAGTTGGTACAGGTAGCGGAGGAGCTTGGGTGGCCGAAGGCGTTGCGGGTTTCGAACCTGAGCTGATGTTTCGGTTGAGGTTTAGAGTGATAGTTCGCTTGGGTTCTGGTTTGGGTGGCAACGGTTGTGTAGCGTATACCTTGCGTGGTGTCCTCCTAAAATGCCGCTTAAATGTCACCAAGCATCTAGACCTGCTCTTCTCGCCACGCTCGACGGTCCAGTAGGTAGGATATTCGAAAGTCAAAGTTAGCGATGGATCATCTTCGACTAGTATCGAGCATAGCTCGAGGAGATTAACTCGCTCTGACACAGTCAAAATAGGAGAGTCTATCGCATCCCAAATGGCTCTCTGTAAGTTCTCATTGTCCGTAGTTTCCTTCTTCAAGGCCGCAAGCGCTACCGAGAGATCTTCCTTGCGGGCCTTCGCCTTTTTTCTGGCCTCCATTGTTTCATCGTCACGTTCAACGATAAGGTCATCTACCGCTGGCTGATTTGGCGCTCGCTCCTCTGGCCGTTCGTTTTCTCCAATAGCGATACTGGCAAAGCCGCGACAGAGAGCTTTAAATAGTCGATCCCGGACGAATGGCGAAGGATCGGTACTGGTCAAATTCAGGTAAAATTTCAGGAATTTAGGGCTTTCCAGCATTCCCAGTTCGACAAGTGATTCGCAGGCCTTGACGCGGACGAGGTCATAGGTCTGATCCTGTAGATATTGAAAAAACACGACGGGGTCCTTCTTAATGACCTCCGCTTTCATTAAACGGCAAAGAGCGTCGAGTGCGGCCGTGGTGAAGCAGTTCTGGTACGAAGGAGAATACTCATCCCTCCTACGATATCGCTCGATCTCCTCCATGGCCAGCTTACGGAATTCCTCCGGCTCCGAATCGATAGGATCGGCCATTACCTCGTCACCATCGGCGTCCTCGAAGGCGAAGGACATAGACTTTTGTTGTTTGGTTTTCTTCTCGTCTGGGATTTGACAAATAGCTAAGGCTTTGATCAACCTGCAGATATATGGCTGATCGGAATATATGTTGGTCGAATTGTCATTGGCTTGAAGTTGCTCGAGGATGAACATGCGCGCATCTCTGGGACACCTGCCGTCTTCGCCACGGATGCGGGCTATAGCCTCGGGGATAGTACGTTGAATCAGGTATTGGCGTTTATCCGAGAAGTCATTCGGCAAAGGGGTGTATGTTCCCGGGTGACAAAAGAAATGCTGGAAGATTTTCATCAAATGCCGAAGCCCTATCCAATTCACGTGCTCGTTCACCGCATGACGAGGAAGCTCATCGGCCGCCATGATGCGTATCCCGTAGTAATATCGAGGATCCAATACGGTACGAGAGAGTATAGTTGAGACGAGAGGGTGTGGTCCTGTCTTAGAGAAGCTCCTGTGAAGGAATAGCATGGAATCTTGCTGTGCAACGACATCTCTATCTTGTTGCAGTTGCGATGCGTACATATAAGCAGGGAGATTTGTTTGCATCTCGCAGATCCACTCAAAGTCGGCATCCATTCGTATCCATTCGTAGGATTCCTGGTCCATCTTCGCTTCAGTTTCTTCGTCCCAATCACGGAAATCCCATTCTTCCATCTCATCCTGGTGCTGCATAACATCTCCTAAGTAATAAAGATCCCTGTGTCCATCCTCGTTCCCTTTTGTACTGCTCGCCAATGCCCTTTCGCGCTGCCGACGGTTCCTCTTAAGTCTCTTGTATTTTGTGTTGTAGGGTATCTCGAACTTCACAGATTTGGCAGCATCTTCTCGAATTTCGACTATGTGTTCGTAAGGTGTACCGTCAGCTTCGTGAATTCGGATAGTCATGGGTCCGGTAAAAGACTGTTGTAACTCGGCTGCGTAAACGGCATGGTTCTCCTCCATGACATCCCTCCAGAAGTCATTCTTGTCGAGCGGCCTAGCCTTGAGAAAAGCTATATCCTGAGTTTGTCGAATTGTCATCTCAACGCATAATCTCTTTTTGTTGAATCGTTGAAAGACTTCAAACCTCGGACATCCAGACATGAGTACCCATTGATTCCAGAAGTGCTCCAGCCTCGTGTTTCCGGCCTTCTCGCAAGCTCGGCGGAATGCGTTGGACTCCAAAATTTCGTCGATGGCCTGGCCGGACGTATTTGCTTTGCTGACCATTCGAGATATGATCTTGGAGATTCCGGTAGAACTAGACGACTTGGAAAGGCGGCGATCTAAGATGAACAGTACCAGGGGTGCCTTAAGATTCATGAAATCTACCTCGAAACTTCCCAAGTAAAGGTGTTCGCCGATGTCTTGCAGAGATGGACGTTTTATGTCAACCTCAACTAGCCGATCTGACATCGACTTCATCCGAAACCTATATTCATTATTACCGCACAGCGTCTTCATAAAATGGTCAGTCAAGAACCATGCTATCCCAACGACGAGCCAAATGTCTCCCTTTGTGTTAGGAACAATGTTGACGCCAAACCACTGGCTTGCTAGCGAGTACACCAGCGTCCTCGTAGTTTCCACTTCAGTATCAATGATATCCGAAGGGTAGAGTAGCCTGGTGCTGCATAGGGAAAAGGCGCATAGGGGTATAGTGTCCTCAACCATGTCATCAACAAAGCAGACCTTGTAGCTCTCAAACGGGTACCGACCGAAAGTAAGTACGAAGTAATCCACCGCCGTGACGAGAGTGGGACACGTATTTCTAACCTCTTCCGCACGACCTGGAAGGCAATACCCGTGGACCTTGACAGCATTGACACCAAGCTTGGTGTCGTCCTCTTCGCTACGGAATTCCGACCATAGGTCAACATGCTCAAAAGGCCCAACAGCAAAGCCGATATGCTTGGCTGCTTTGTTACGGTCAATCTCAAAAGTCATGGTCTTCTTGGTTTCATCGTCTTTGTGAACTACCTCGCCAGTCAAATACCCTGAGCAGACGACGGTCATCTCTAGCATTTTGTCTTCCTCCGTAAGGGCGATGTCCACCGTTCTGGGCTCATCTTCGCCGTGTTTCCTTTTGTGGCTTCTATTAGTAGGACCAACCTTTTTAGGTTGTTGCGTCGCAGGCGGCTTGCGGAACGCATCGCCGAGTGTCCGAGGGCAAGTGATAGAAATCTTCCAAGAATTTCGCGAGCCCGGGTCATCGACACACGGAAAGATGGAAGATGCCGTACCAGGCTCGACAGAGTGACGGGTATAGACGTGAGGGTATCGGGTATCCGCCTCGTCACAACCAACAAATTGGAGACCATCGCAGACATTTTTCAGCTTGAAGGGAATGCGAATCCTGTAGCCACCTATCGTGCCGTCGGAGTGTAGGAGTATGTCTTGCTGGTCGGATTTCTGGGAGTCTTTATTCTTCTGTAGCACTTCATCTACGCTTGGAAGTTTGACTCTAATGGATCCATCAAGAGGGGTGCAGCACTTCAGGTCATGGTCCAGCGCTGACACTTCCTTACGTTTGTGGTGTAGCAACGGCTGCATGCGGTGCTTCTTAATCGGCCACTGAGGTGCGGACCATCGGTAGTGTTCAGGTGTTCGTATTGATTCGCAAGGATCGGTGTAGGAGGCCTCCACTTCACAGTTGCTAACGGTGATCTGAGTCACATCGATATCACACTGACGGGCGTCGATAAAGACTTCGGAAACTTCGAGGAAAGGAACGATTAGAATATCGGATCGTCCGTGGACGCGCTTTTGGGCAAAATCGATTTCAAGATCGACATTCTGGGTGAAGACGACATAAGGGCGAGGAGGAGTGTCATCGACGGGAAGCTCGACGGGAGGAGTATCGCCGGCCTCGACAGGTTCTGGCTCTGCGATGCCAGGCATGCTGAGCGTCTGCGTAGCCGCTATGCTACGTAATGGTCGTATTCATCGGTAAATTTGTAAATTTTGTCTTTCCAGAAGCTATTGTAAATGTACGATACTGGAAAGAGGTAAACCTGCGGGGGTAGTTTTTTCAGATACACCAAAGTACCTAATATCAAAGAAAGTGTAATAAATGCCGATGTTTTAAAGTAGCCTCACACGCGATTGTAGACCGCGCTGAAGGATCGCAGCTGCGATACGCGCTGAGTACGAAGGAATACTGTTAGATGTTGTGCTGAGCAATAAGCTCCTAATAATCAGTATTGAAGCGCAGGAATAGAGGCGGGGGAAGATTTGGTTTATTGGAAAAAAAAAAAAGTCAGTTGAGCAACAAGAGCTTCGCGAAGGCGCAGTTTCAGAAAGCTCTTGCCTCGAACCTACGACCTGACCTTACGTAGCTGCCCATGTTACAAAGCTTCAAAGGTAGAAACAGCCTAGTTAAGAAATCGATAATACATGTAAGGTCCGTGCATCACTGGGCAAGTGCCGCATACGTTCATGTACCTAAGTACCACTTATTATACCGTACCTGCGTACCTAATATATTAACTAAAAATGCGAGGTCCCGAGGTGGCGGTACGCACGCAGCGCCCAAACTCTGCCCCTCTTGACATCACACATACCAAACCTTCAGGTGCATGGGATTATTATCTAGGTTACGTATGTAGTAGGTACCTACATATCACGCCCGGACAGTCAAGATACTCGAGTTGCTGCATGTCTCATATTGTTTTTGATGGGATGCTACTAATCCACCTAACACCTATTATGTTTTACCTAGTAGATAATTACCCTGGGATAATTACACTAGGTTCATTGCTATCAACGTCATCACAAGTATCGCTATGGGCTTTAGCAGGAGTTATACCATTAGGCTATCACACTAAATGCCCAAGGCTATTATTATAGTACGAATAAAGGTTCCCATGGGGAGCGCCATGTGAATCCAAAGCCGCATCCAGTCGCATTTGAGTGAATAGGAACTTGAGTGTCCCCGTAGTGCAGCGATAAACGTATATGCTAAGTGTTGCCTCGTTGCCTTGTGTCCCGAAGACAAATGCAATAGCCCCCAAACTAATTCAACAAATCAATGCTGACGCTGACGCCTTTCCCGCCTCTTTTGCCTCTCGTGGGCTTTCAAAGTCTCAATATCACGGTATTCTTCGGGTAATTCAAAGTTGCGTTCAACCATATCTGGGATGGGATGACCCCAGGCTACAATAGTCCTTCCTCTGCGCCGGCTCTTGTTGAGGGCTGCTTCACGCTGATGTTTTTTGACAAAGAAAGACGTAAACTCCTTTGCCACATATGGTTCTGGAGACTTTGGTGGTGGTTCACCTCGAGATCTCTTAGAGCTCGATGCAGTGTACTTAGCCCGTGCTAATGCCTCGTCAAGAAGTTGCCTTGCAGATGCATCAGCATCGCTGTAGTCTGGGGGATCACCGTCGCTAACATCATCCGGAATATCGTCGTCTGTTTCAACGTCGCCCATTTCTTCATCCTCATCTGAAGCCTCCTCCTCACTTAGTTGCTTGGCATTGTTATCCTCCCCCTCGGTTTCTTTTTCTTCGTTTTCTTCTACCTCTTCTGCTAACGCACGTTCCTTCATAAGCTTCCTCTTTTTCTCTTCTTGACTCCATACACGGAATTTCTCCAAGATTGCTTGACAACCCTTAATGAAGTGATCTCGGGCAGGCTCGAATGTCTTCTTGCGACTTTCAGTAACACCGCTGACACCCATTGTTCTTAGCCAATCATGGCCTTGGAGCTCATTGAGCAGCCGAATGATCTGATCCTTCTCATGTTGTGCGCGACCTTTTTCTGTATTTCTGATGGATTTTTCTAGCCTCTCAGCTTTTTTATGTGCTGGTCCGAAATAAGAATCTGGTAGGGGATCCTCGACATCTTTGCCATTATATCGTGCTTCGAGAAAGGCAAAGTCGATCCGTTGAGAGTCGTACAGGTTAGAGAACAGATTATCACCGTAAGTTCGCACTGTTCGCACTGTATTATATATAGTGTGGGGTCGCCCGTTGGCGTCTATTGCTGCTGCTTCTGGAGGGGGTACAGGGGCTTGTGATTGATGATTACTAAAGAGGGGATTGCCCGTATCGACCAGGACAATCGGAGTATCGAGGTTAAGAACGTCTGGCTTTTGGTATTAGCAATTGAAGGAATGCATCTTGAGAAGAGTGAAGAGTGTAATAATATATAGTTTTCAATTGGGAATTAGCAATTGGGAATTATAATAGTTGGTTGCACTTACGTTCTTCTTTAGGATCATTACCGATTACTTCATCATAATCGGGGAAATATGCTGACAACTCGCTCTTGAAGCGAGTCGCCTCCTGTGACCGCAACTTGCGACCGGGCCGTTCTGTTGCCGAATTGGTATCGGTTACACTTGGTTGTAATCTATCGAGTTCATGTTTAATTCCATTGATAGCTTTTTCCTTGTGTCTTTTTAAACCAGGTTCTACTACTGTCGCCGTCTTGGTAGTTTCCCGTTGAGCAGGGAGAATTTGCGTTGATGCGACCGGAGGCTCGTTCGTATGGGTTTCAGTTTGAAGTTGGGGTTGAGGTTGTGGCTTCAACGTGTTCACAGTGTCCACAGTGGCCACAGTGATGGATCTAGGAGGATTGGTAGGAGGAATAGGTCTCGCTAGAATCTCGACAGTAATTCGGGCTCTTTTGGTTTTGGAAGGGTCGTAGTTATTGGCAATAGGATCTAGAGGGCGCTTCATTCGTGAAGGACTAGTCTGCTGAAGGATGTTTTGCGAGTTTCGCGTTTTGATATGTGTCGCGATGACATGAGCATGTTTAGCAGCCACGCTATTGGCGTCAAGACTTGCAGTAGCTGGGTTGATGTTCTTAATATTAGGATTGATTGTGTGGTTAGTTGTGTGCTGCTGATGGGTATGGGTATGGAGATGGGGATGGGGATGGGCGCGTCGCTGGTAGTGCTGGTGCTGGTGCTGGTGCTGTGGGCGCTGGAGCGCATCAGGTCGTCGCGAAGAGGTAGCCATCAATTCGAGGTGTATGAATTGACATAATGATCGCTGGTGGCACAGAACAGGATTTAATATGGTATTTATCAAATGCGCATTGACGTACCAAAACAATTAGATAAATTTCTTGGGGCGAACATTAAATTTCTAACGTTAGGCGCCTCTTGTCATCAATTGATCACTCTTGTAGTTATTGCAGATGCACGCGCAATGCTGGACTCTACTATGGTACCCAACTATACCTGTATGTACAATACAGTGCGCATCTAGGTCGCTCCTTATGGTTTGAGCCTTCGCTATGGCACTCTCCCCCAGACTTTGGAGGCCGCCTCCTTGCTCGGCTACAGGTAGCTTAAACTTTACTTAGGTACCTATTGAACAGTCTGCCTATTGAACATTACATAGATGACTCATCTTAGTACAATACCGTTCCGTTAAACTGTATGCAAGCCCCCATGCACATGGTAGTTTATGTACCTCCTTTCGATATGCTAATTTAAAGCACAGGAAGTAACTGCATGAAATGTACCTATTGAGCAATGTACCTAATTCATTATCGTAACTTTACCTCTATGTAACTAGGTAGTATATGTAGTTAACTTATATCTTCGATGTACATGTATTGTTTGACTTTTAAGACCCAACATTGAAAAAACCTAATCTTTGTTTGTAACAATTGCTTTTCAAACTTCAACCTCTAAATATCAAATCAACAACTATCCCAATTCCTAAATAATACACAAAGTAGATCGTTCCTAATCAGATAATAAATCTTGCCACACATGGTACCGTCGCAACGGATTTAGGCTTACTGATGTCACACCATAGGGCTATCGAGGCGAGATATGTCGGGAAACGTATCTACCCATGGTAGTTCGCCTGCAGGTTTTATCTTTCCGAAGCCCACCTGATCTTGGTAACCTACTATTTGTAAACGGTCGACTACATGAAGCCATGATTTAAACCAATAAATAGTCGAGACAATTCTAAATTCCGAAGGGAGTAATGATGGGGACACGTCTAACTTATGAGCTCTTTACTTTTAGCAATAGTTACTATATCCGAAAACTACAAAGATTCTAACTACATAAATACTACGTATAAAAAGAAATTGTAAAACCGTAGACCCCGTGTCTTTTAATGTCAGGTTAATATAATACCTGAGGTAGTTAGGTATATGTTATAGTACGCTGTTACGGGCAACCCTACCTACCTAACCTACTAAGTTACTTATAATTAGATTGGTGGTATTTTACGAACTTGTACTTGGGACTTGGGACTTGGACGTAGGGACGTATAACAACTACTTAGTTACTACATTATACCTATACAGTCAAGTATACTCCTGTTTATAAGCAAGCAGTATACTTTCCTTGATTCATAATTTCCATCTTACGTACAGTTCCCTATCATAAGCATTACATACGGCATTGATTAGTAAGCTATACCATTAGGTAACTTCATTCTTCTTTCTCACTTGTACACTATGTTACACGAAACAGATGTTAAATCTGCTGATCTGGCACGCGCATATCGCACCTCAGTATGCCGTTTAACCGATCGACATATAGGTACCTTAAGTAGGTAATTACGTCATTCTAAACGAAACCACTGAAGTCTGACGATATCAGGTATCAGGCATTTGTACATATCAAAAATTCCCTATACACTTACATCTACACTTACACCTACACTTACACCTACACTTACACACATTACCTACAAGTTTTCCAAATATCGCCAGTTCAACTTCTCTATACTACTAGCTTACTAGTTACCCAACCTATCAAACCTATAATCTATTAGTAGCCACACATGGCATCGCAGCGACATAGTAGCTCTAAGCTTCCTCGTCTTCACTTTTAATGGTGACCTTTCTACTGTGACGATCTATCCAAGTGGCAACATGGCCAGGATGGTCCATAGTGTTGCGCCAATACTGTCACCCCCAAGTAGACAATCTCCATCCCTATCCCCATCTCTATCTTCATCTCACTCTTTAGCTCCGCAGCTCGCCGCCGCTACGCCGGGGTCTCTCCCGCTAACCCCACCATCGTCGCCCGGTCCGTACGGGGAATCCAAGAATTCGCCGAATACTACTACATCACTCCAGAGTCGCCAGAGTCGCCAGGAATACTTAGACTCTCTACAACCGCCATCCAAGGAGGAGTTCCAGCGTCTAGCAAAACTACAAGAGCAGCGCGAAAAGGAGCACAAGCGTCGCGATCAAGAGTTACGCCGCCAAAGCGTAGTAATTGCTCACACGAGCATGCAGGCAAGACGAGACTTCATACAATCGAAGGTAGCTGAGGAAGAAGAACACCTGGGACATCGTCACTCTATATTCGGGCATAGACATTCGAGCTCTAAATCACGCTCTAGGCCGAGTAGCAAGGATGCAATAGCTAGTAATAGAAAGAGCGAGGCCGCAGACGACTGTCTTAGGTCGAAGGCGGCAACCGTAATTCAACGAACCTATCGTGGGTATCGTGTGCGCAGAGAGATGCAAGGGTTAGGTTTAAATGCAGGTACCAGGTGGACGCACGCAATCAGAGACGCACAATGGATAGACCTAAACACGCCTCGAGCTAGACAGAATAGCTTACAGAGCATCGAGAACGGCGACGCAGACAATCAAAGGAGGCCTAGCAGTAGCCGATCTACAGCACGGAGGAATTGGATCAAGGTAGCCAAGATAGCCCGACGCGCTGGGGCAGATGAGGATTCCGACCATGCGGAAGACAGCTCATCCTCGCCACTCAGCGAAGAGGATTTTCAAGGTATGAGTGCCGAAAAGAAGGCAGAAGCGAGAAAGAAGTGGATGAAGGCTCGGGCAAAGAGACGGGAACGCGCTCGAATGATGGGACTTCAATACTTCCTAGAAATGGTCGACCTGAAGCACCGGTACGGGTCCAACTTGAGAGCATACCACGAAGAGTGGAAGAAATCTAATACCAACGAGAACTTCTTTTATTGGCTAGACTATGGTGAAGGTAGGAAAATAGACTTGGCAGCCTGCCCTAGGGAAAGGTTGGATCGCGAGCAGGTGCGGTATCTGAGTCGAGAGGAGAGGCAGTATTATCTAGTGAAAGTTGATGTGGAAGGCCGTCTAGTTTGGGCCAAGAATGGCATGCGTATTGACACCACAGAAAAATGGAAGGATAGCATTCACGGTATTGTCCCGATCGACGACCCTACGCCTTCATTCTCAGCAAATATCGAGTCACATGTACAAGCAAAACCTAACATAGAATCGCCCCCACAGCCGCACAGCCACTCAGGTTCGTCGTCTCCGAGGTCTTCACGAGAGTCGGAGCTAGAAGCTGCCATGGCAGCAAAGTACGCAGACCCTGACTTTGACAACCGAAAGGGTGTTAGGAAAATCCGACACGTATCAGCCGCAACGATATTCAACAAGCTCCTCCGCAAGACGGTCCGCAAAAATACGTGGATCTTTGTTGCCGACACATCGTTCCGCTTGTATGTCGGCGTCAAAAACAGCGGCGCCTTCCAGCACAGTTCGTTCCTACAAGGATCACGGATATCCGCAGCCGGGTTAATTAAGATAAAAAACGGGCGGCTATCAAGCCTTTCACCACTCTCGTATGTAACATTGAGGGTTCCATCCCCCTTTTCGGCCTGTCTCGGGAGTTAGTATTACTCCCGAGGCTTGCTGGGCTTACAAAAAACCCCTTACTAAAGAAACAATCATTAACTCGTCGAATAGAGGCCACTACCGCCCTCCGGCTTCCAACTTTCGCGCTTTTGTACACAGTCTGGAGGAAGAAGGCGTAGACATGTCGCACGTGAGCATCAGCAAAAGCTACGCCGTCCTAGTCGGGCTGGAGGCGTACGTCAAGACGAAGCAGAAGGGCAAGGAGGCAATGCAGACGCTCACGCACCAGAAGCAGAAGCTGTTAGACCCCGAAGCGGCCCGGAAGAAAGAGGAGGCGGAACTCGATACGAGCCAAAGCGCAGCAAAAGAACGGAAATTCCTCGAGAAGGAGAGGGAAAAAGAAGAGGTCCACCGCGTCGAGAATAAGGCAACTTTCAAGTTTATGCAGAAATTGCAGAGTTTCCAGACCCAGAATTTAGCCAACTGGTAACGTTGGGTACCTAATTAAAAGATTGCTCGATGCTAATAAATCGAAATTATAGATACGTCATATAAGATGCACGTATATTGATTCCAAGCCGGCGTTAACAGACGTGAATTGTCTTTTCCTTAAACCCGGGAAATTCCACGGCTTCTCCCTGCATGATTCCATCAATATAGCAGCCACCAACAAGCGAGTAGCAGTATGCCCTTGTCCTACTCTTGCGCAGCAGAAACGGAATGTTGCCGCCGGAGAGGATACTCACACGATCTCCAATTTGAGCCGTGCCTGGTACGATACCGCAGCGGTTCCGTTTTGTCGTTACGAATTTCCAGCCGCAGATGCTGCCGTTAAGCAGGGAGCTATATGCTGCGGACTTCTCTCGCCGCGTCGCTCCCTCACCCAACGGTCCGTTGATAACGCCGGCGTCTAGCTCGGGCTGTTGGACGTACTTATGAGCCTTGCCGCGCTTGAACTCGGCCTTTCTTAGAACCTCGCGAAAGGCCTTGTACGAGTCATGCATAGAGAGATCCACGAGGGCGACAGCGGTTGGACGCAATGCGCCGGCCACGGGCACCTGCCATTTCAACTCCTCGAGGCGCTCTGGTGTATAGAACTGGCGCAGGCTATCGACCATCGAGTCCACCTCCTTGAAGTATTGTGCGCGTTCCTTTCCCTTATTTGAGTTGGAGTGCTTGCTGATAGACACGATCTCGTCCACGTGGCATCCGTCTATCGCTAACACATTTCCGTTTAGCCACTCGATCCATTCTTCTAGATCCCCCGAAGCATTGTAATCAACCTCGCGGTCGTGAAGAGTGCTAGTACCGGGAACTGTCAGATCCGGAAGCCACGAGGGGAAACGATCCGAGTTTGGTCCCAGCCCTGCGCGGTATAGCAGATCCATGCCCCTACCACCCTTGACAAAGCCGCGGCCAAACCTGCACGCGATTTCTTCAAATGTGGTGCTTTTCCGGTAGTCGGGCTCGAATTCCTTTTCGTTTCCGTCGTAGGCAAGCCCCAACAAGGCAAAGTAACGATCACGTCGTAGCGTGGAGTCGACGTGGCGGAAGGTGTCCAGGAGCGTCAAAAGTTCGTATCGTTGGTGGTACGCTTCGTGTACCCGCAAGTAGGACAGAGTCATGAACGGTTGCCAGGAGGAAGACCACGCCCCGAGGCTACTACCTTGTTCTTGCTCGACGAGATCCATGGCTCTGTAGATATCGTTCCAGTTCACCGTCCAATTTCCGCACACGATAGAAATCCTAGGGGAAATTACGACTTCTTGGACTATCCACACCCGCCGGAACCAGGTACTTTCGAAAAACTTCGCGATGGACCGCCATATCGGGTCATCCAGTCGTGGTGTGGATCTTTCTGCCCAAGACAAGGGCACGGGCGATAGTCCCTCTGGCCAGTTATTTCCCGATGCAGAATCATAGGCCTCCTTGGCCGTTATCTGCAACAGAGTCTCTATAGCGCTGTCGCTCTGTGTGCTAGAGCCTAGGAATGCCATTGTACGGGTTGCAGTTTGAAAAATTCTGGGCAACATTCGGATTTGCTTTGCTTTCTCATCCTCGTTCGCCTGGTCGATACAAATTGCATCGACCCATAGTACGGTAGGGCTAGTTTTATGACGCAGGCGTCGGAGGGCGGCGTTAAGAGAATCGCCTAAGCCCATGAAGCCATCCGCCGTCCAAAGACGGTGCCGTGTCGCGGTGTTATTAGGGCCCCATTCGTACGAAAGTGTTCTGTAGGGGCCGCTGTCCTCGATACTCGAGCACTCGAATATCATGCCGGTGAGCGGATTACGACTCTCGCCAGGGAATAGCATGAATAGTCTTATATGATTGACGCCGAGTTTTTGGTGAGAAAACGGGAGATGGACCTTACTGCTCATGCTAAGAGGACTTGCGATGCGATCAGACTGTTTGCCAACTACTAAGTCAGGGTCGTCTGTAAACTTGGAGTCGTGATCGCGCCCTTTTGCTGCTAGACGGTGAGCCCATGGCGCCTGGTGGTAGGGTAAAGTAACCAAGCCCGCGTCTTCCGTCTCGTTATGCCGTAGTGCATCATGTAGCTTACCTAGATCCTGGAAGTCTGCAACCGAGGCTATGTCCTCGATCGTTGCGAGAGACTTAACGTTTCCTGTAAGGCGTAGTCGATCAAAAACGACGAGGTGCCATGGATCTATGATAAAGCAGAACTGCGGATCCTCGAATACGCTGCTGATTCGAACAAGGACCGCAACATCAAAATGGCGGCGTAGGGTTTCCCTAAATCGAAACTTTTGTATCTAGAGCGATATGTTAGAAATCGAGTATCTTGCTCGCGAGGCTTGCTATTGCGGACGGGCTGGGTTAGGGGAGGAAGGGGAGCGGGCGTGGCCGCAGGACTAACCCTCCTAAGCTGCCACCAAGTCCAAACAAATGTTGAATCCATGTCGCCCTCAGAAGCGGCTATTTCAAAGTGATAGCGTGGTAGCCTACCACGCCACGCAGCGGCGTCTCCTGCGCCCACTGGAAGCTTACCCAGGCTTAACATGAGATCTGTCACACACATTGACGCCAATGGATCGCTCATTGTGAAGGGTGCCAACTGGTCTTCAGCTGTGAAAGACGGCAGACCGGCCCTCGCGCGCAGCACACTTGTCCAGTGAATGATGGGGTCGTAGGAACTCCCCATATGCCTTTGGAAAAAGTTGGATACATGCAAGTAAAATTCAGCATTAACGGTGCTAATACTTCACGGTCTGTGGAGCTCGGTTGGTAACAAGGTAGCTACTTACAAGCTTCTGTCCTAAATACTCGATATGTTGGCTTGGGTCCAGCGAATGGCTCATGAATAAAAGTCCTTGCTCATGAACGGGGTCCTCAATGATAGTCGTGCCTAACTGTGAGAAGGACATCAAAGGGATTCGCCTATCTTCGTGTCTCTCCTCGGTTAGCCAACGCCTTCTATCTCTTCCTTGCTGCTTATCTTCGTCACCGCCATCCCCCACATGCCAGATGGGGCGGGTGATGGCGAGGCTGTCGTCTGATCGAGACTGATAGCGCATCTCGGTCTCGTTTGCTTGTGATTCTGCTAGGTAATGAGTTCAAGGAATGTTCAGGGTCTGACTTGGTGCTAGCCTCGAGCTCACAGGGCCCTCGTACCTGTATTTTCTTCATCAAGGGAATCCAAATAATAACCATTGGCTGCAAACATATTTCGGACCTTTCTAGTATTAGGTTCCCTTAGGGCTGCGTAGAGCAAACTCGAACTTCGATGGTCTGTGATCCGGCAATGTGCCGCGATCATGTCGATTAGTTCGAAGGGCAGTTGCCGGTGGATATAATTCTTCTTTGCGATGTATATCGTCAAAGTATCTTGTGTTTGGCATGGGATTAGTGCCGCCTCGCACTCGGTCGTGTGACTGGCGCACTTGAACTCGCCCTTATATCTGATCGTGTACACTTGAAAAATGCTCTCTGTAACATTGATTGTTATCGTGTGTAACTGGCGATATATCGAGTCTATGTCTTTCTCGGACTTGGGGACTAAACTGTTAATTAAAAGCTTATTATTAGCATCATTAGCAAGGAGCAATCTACTCCAACATGATTGTCTACCTATTGATAATAATCATGTAGACGATGACATGGAGGTTTGTGACTTACGCCTTTACGAACGCAAGTCGAGCGTGAAAAAATTGAGCATCAGACGAAGAGACCATGGGGTTTCCTAAAGGATAATAAGTCCTTTCGACAATTCCATTTAGTTGTCGAGTATGAAGTCCCATCGCTACGAGAAGGGGGCTTATTGACTCAATCTCTTCGGCAGCCAGAGCCAACAGGGGCACTTTGCCAGCAAAACTTCCTACCAGGTGGGGGCGATCCGCGATAAACCATGAAGTATCTTCCGAAGAACGGAATACATAAGAGGCCATTTGGTTCGACCTATTTACTGGAAATATTGCTTTCCCCCGAAGAGGCCGCACAGAGCGTCTGGCCGCTGCAGGACTCATGGGGCGCAGAGCGCAGCTAAGCTCGGCAAAGACCTCCAGAATGCGAGGTAAAGTCCACGAAGGGCCAATCGAGGCTGCCTTGGCGACAACGACGTCGATTTCAAAGGTATCGACATCGACCAGCCACAAGAAAAATCCCTTGCAAGTAGGGTAGATGGCCCCAAGATCAATCTTCCTCCTTCTGCATTCCGCAATGGTGAGCCATGAATGGGATTTGCGACTACTTGATTGCGCAGGGCCCGTGTAAATGAAGGCGTTGCGGTCGAATAAATTCCTTCAATGTTGTAAGCAAGACAGCCGTAGATGTATGAGTCCTTGTTATACTTACTGTACGGCCTCCTCGTTATCCTCGTAACGATACTGGATCTGTTCGTATATATACAAAATTGCATCGTCATCTGGCGAACCTTGTTGCAAACCGAGTGAGGCCAAACAGGACAGGTAGTAGTGGATGTCAGCATCAACCTTAATGCCCAGACAACCCAGCTTCCTACGCAATGACTGGTCTTCGGAACCGTCTATATCCAAAATAGGTATTGGAATTTGTAGTTCCATGATGCGAGGGTCTAGAGAGGGGAGGACGGTGTTGCGGATAGGCGAGAGCCCATGTAGCGTGCGTACAATACTGTCTGCAATGTCATTAAGCAGTTTCTTATTGGAATCTACTATGTTAGGATCTTGTCGCTTGGATGAACTCATTTCGATCCACTCGGAGTAGATGTTCCAATGCTCGCTGAGAAGATAGAGCACGTCGGACACGGGACATTCTTTGAACAAAAACTTGAATTCTTCTGATAGGAAATAGCTCTGCTTTGCGACACCTATTGACTCACGCACAAGCCGCGGAATCTCTGATAAGTGCAGGGTGCTGATGAGGTATGATCTAAAGGACTGCTTTTCTTTAACAATTAAATTCTCGAAATATGATTCATCAAGGAGCGAAAAATGTCTTTGTGCATTCGATTTGGTACTCGTGGCAGGTTGACGTGTGTCGACAGCCCTAGCTTCGTAAACGGAATCGAAGGTAAACATATCCGAGGTAGAAGTATCTACGATCGTTACGGTTGCTGACTTCTGATTTAGATCTTCGGCGGTATCTGAGAAATGTAGCTCGTTGTTTGATGTGCCATCAAGCCCTAGCTCCTCAGGGGTGTCTGTATCACAGTATATCGTGTCCGGATATTTCTTGTAGGGAGACGCACTAGTTATTCGAGAGAGATAATCCTTATGAGCCGTCGGGAATTCTTTTCGAAGTTTATCGAATACCCTCGCAGATGGCGACCCATCTTCGAAGTCGCCCCGAATATATAATTCTGAACCCCTACAAACTCCGCCATCAGATGTAGCAAACCAGAGATCCACATCAAAATCTGGGCTCCAAGAGGCCTGAAATAAGAATGTGGCGTGCGAGATGAGGTTTGTTCGTGTTATTCTTTGAGGGTTGAAGGACGTAGATGCATGCAACTTGGCGATTTTAAAACACATGTCTGGTCGATCGATTTCTGAGATGCCAAGCTTCTGAAATAGACCTCGTCGATTGTCGTCGGCTGCGGCCACTGGATCTATAATAAGTATCTCGTTGAGCACCCCGAAGCTCTTTAGATCTAAGTCCTCGCTGAAAAAGACCGGCTGCTGATCTGCTGACGTCCATGTTCCATCAGACAGCGGTATGATGGCTAGTGTTGCCAGAGTCTCCTTGTGGCTTGCAACTTGTGCTAGAGGCAGAAGAACCTTTGCGAGCTGCGAATGCCACGTAGGGGGCCGCCGCCGAACTTGACCTGGATAATTGGATACCATGGACGCGAGATCATTCAAAAGTATCTCATCAGACATGCTACGGACCCCGAGATCCAAAAGTGAATCTATCAACCACTCAGGATATTTTATAGATAGATAGCGGCTAATTGTGTGCTGGTGTAGGGTAAAGGGGCGCTTGTCCTCATCCGCGTATTTGCTGGGACTGACATAGATAAGGTTAGACGGTCTAAGCATTGTCCCGTCCCAGCCCTCTAGGACCGCTCTTTCGGCTAAATCTTGCAAGATCATTTCTCGAGAGGGTTGAAAGAAACTAGAGACCTGGCTGTTAGGTACAAAGAACGGCCAGAAGTACTTCATCGAGCCTTGGCTGAATTTTTGGACGGCTTGGACGAAGGCGGCAGCCAGACCACTTCGCAGTGACTGGTTCCATGGCGATGAAACGTCAATATGTGATCGGTCTGCGGTGAGCAAGAAGTCGCCGTTCAGCAAGAACTACAGTCAGACGTAAGTTAACCCAGTTCCGTAAAGGGGATATCTCCCCAGGGCAAAAGTACAGTACCTTTAGGCCATAATCACATACTGGCAACAACGCATGAACGTATCGAGGGCCCCGACTCGGCTGGGCGGGGAAGCTCGAGGTTGGAAAAGCAAGGGTGAGTTCTGAAGTCCGAGATTCTGGCCGTTTTTCCTCAAAAGGGAGATTCTCTACTTGGTAAGTGAAGGTGCGGTACCGCAATTGGCTTTGATCCACGTCGACGATTGTGACTGCTTCACCGTCCTCCAGAACTAGCGTTTTACGCAGATGTTTCTCCCATCGTTTATTGTCTTTGCCATGTATACGTAAAACGACCTGACGTATTCTCCTGAGAAACACGAGAAGGGTGGCATCAAAGTTACGAAGTTCCTTCGTCAGATCTTCCGAGGCGTTGGCCTCGGACAGTTCGAGATAAAAGGACGTCTGGGCCGGAAGAACGGCCTCCGGAAACTCTGCCCATTTGGGGGCGATCATGCCGAACCGTTCCTTCTTGTCGAACATGAAGCGGTATTGGCGTGACGATATCCAGACTCTTTCGGCAACTCTGAAAACACTCTTGAATCCGATTCCTTTCTCACCAGTGTAGCCCCCGGAGTGGTTCTTGTTACTCTTGGTGCTACGGCGAACTGTAGATATGGCCTTGACATGTTTAGCTTCAAAGCCGGTTTCATTGCAGTCGACCCGGAGACTACCTGTGCTCTCTCTACAAGTGAATGCTAAGGTAGGAACTGATAACAAGGGATACTGGTTGTCATCGGCATTCTGCAGCAACTCAAGGAGAAAGTGCGTTGACGTATCGTACAAGTCCGACGCAGCGCTAGAAATGTTAATGAGGAGCACATGTACGGCACCGTATCTGAGATAACGAGCCAAGTATAGGGGTAGACGCACAGATCTAGTAAATCACTCAGTATCACGGCGAGCTCTTCATATCCCACGGTGGTATGCTTCTCCCTGATTGTCGAGATAAGTTCCCTTGCTTCACGCTCTAATTCTGCACTCGAATCCATTTCCGCCTTTACATTATTGCTCATATACGGGGAAGTGAATCGTTAGGCCACATCCGAAGCTACCATTTAGATTGTGTCTTAGAAGTAATGTAGTTGACGATAGTCGGAAGTTGTGTACCAAAGAAGGTATCGTCGTAGAAAAGGAGGGAAGAAAAGAACAGAAAAAAGGAACCGAAAGTAGAACATAATTCTTGTCTTTTTTCCGAGATGCTGCCAGGCTCTAATTGACTTCCTAGACAAGTCTCGCCAGCCTTACTGCTAGAATTCTGCCTAGGTGCATTTCCTACCGAGTAAATACGCCTCGGCTGTAGTCCTGGACCATGGTGGCCAGCAACTAGGCAACAACACATTAGGAGATTTTCGCATGGTGGCTTGGCCGTCAGCCTCATAATCGTGACAGTTGGGGTTACAATGCCGTCAGTCGCAGCTGACGGATTATTCTAACACACTTATTGGATCTAGTCAAGTTGTGTATTATTGGTACAGAATATGGAATAGAACGAAAGTCTGACGGTCAATGCCAACAGATATTGGGTAGGTACTTTTATTTATGTACCGATTACATAATGTAGTACCTACCTGGTAGATAGGAGAAGCTGCATTAGTGTTGAATTAGTCAGCATCACGTGATCTGGGAATAGCCTCAACCACCAGTAATTTAGGTCTCCTATCTTCACTCACGTTGCAAATTTCATCCGAATATACACACACGATTCAGACCCTCGTATCACCGCCTATTATCACGTGTATTTCGTACCCATCTACTCTGTGACAGTTAGGTACTTCTAACCTATACTTCTAAAAAAAATTATTTATTTATTTATTTATCTTACACCGTTTCGCCTATGGATGCTATCTATTACATCAGGCATTCCGGATCTGCTCGGTAAATGTCCGGCCAGGAACCGTGCTTGTGTCGGAGAAAACCTGGACCGCTCCAATTGCCTCACTGCTGCGTTGCACAACCACTTCGTCTTCGTCGGTATATACTTTCGGGATTGCTTTGATTGGTTGTCGCAATTAAGTATGTTGTTAGGCACATTCCTGTATATGCCTCTTCGATTCGAGGGGGGAACTTCAATCGGGTGCTTCTCGGGGCGTCGTCGTCCCGGATACGTCGCTGGCCTCAACCCGAAGGGAGGCGCTCCGTACTGTCAGGGAGAAATCTTTCGGATTTTTGCGTGGGTGACCAAGCCACAACCTAGGACGTGGACCGTGGCCGGGGCCGGCGGGCGCTTCTAAAAAATGAAATCATAAAAATATATTTAGCCCCGTAATCGACCGAAATAAGTTGTACTATCATCATCGGTATCATAGAAGCCGGGAGGTGCGTCTTCTGGATTAGGACACCATGGGAGTATGCCTTCGGTTGGCGAAGATAATGCATCATACCATCGCGGTAGATTTTCTTTGGTCGTCGTTGCAGCCATCGCTAGCCAAGCATACAGAGAAATACCTCTCGCCTTGATAGCTTCCTTTAAATACTTCCAGAGCGGCTGATAAGGAATCCTTTCAACCTTGATCGTTACTCCGTCTATGATGCTACCATCAACGTTGTTTATAAATTCCTCCAGTGTTCTTTCGTCATTAAAACAGACGCATCCTCGAGTCATGCGCGTCGCGTGGATACCGGGACAACGCGGTTTATTGCCTTCAAACCGTACATCGCATATGTCAGCGGCAACTCCAAAGGGTTGACAATCTTCTGTTGCGAGGGCCAACTTCTGGGCAGAATCGATGCTAGGAGGCAGAGGTAAACCCTGGTTGTGAATCAATGCCTTGTATGGCATGAATCTGAAGGCCTCGACCCGGGCTTCAATCTTTATATCCGGAAACTTTCGCTCTCCCAGTACGAGCCTTTCCACGCCCTCTCGACATTGCAATCCATGTAGCACGGCCAATGCTCTAACCGCTTCGTTAACGACTATGCGAATTCCTACAATCCATACTGTATCAATGGAGCTGTAGCCAAAGGCACGAAGGATAGTTCTCATATCCATTTGATGGTATGCTAAGGCTGGAGAAGCCGCTCCGATCATCCTTGAAAGGTCTATCCAATAGGGGAACATTTCGATGATATGCGCAAAGTTCAAGCCTATACACTCGATATCTTTTGGAGGAGAGAAGCCGATAAGCGCGATATTTTGACCTGGGACTTCTTCGCAAAGCTTCCTCATAGCACGAACTATTGTGGCCGTCGCTCTGGGGTTGACTACCTCCCTTCGGCCTATCATGTTGACTCTAAACGACGTGACCTTGACCTGATGTTCCGTTATGAAGTCGGCGAGACATAGCCTTTCCTCGTGTCTGGCACAGTTGTGCTCCTCGAGTTTGGATAAAAGTGCCAGGCTAACGTCAAATAGCCCCCCAATCCCAAACTTAGGTTTGATATCTAGGGCAACGAAAGCGGTATTGGCAGGCAATTTCTTAACTGATTTCATAGTAGGTACATAGCGTTTTAGCAAGTCGTTCAACTGTTTCGGGTTGTGAATGTTGCTCGTGTCCAGGATAGGGATCAGCCTATCCTCCCACCAGTCGAATCCTTCGGGGTCTCGAATATCCATGGTTCTCGCCAGGTAGCGATGAATACGCTCTACTCCTGACATAGCTTTATGGGATTCCCTCAGTCAGATGGTAAAATTGTCGTATATATCCTCCGAGTCCGAAGTCAGCGACCATGTTCTTGTGCCTGTTCGCTTCAGTGTCACCACGGTACTCGATAGCAGGATGATTTGGTCATGTAGAAATTGCTGGGTAAGTAAGGTGAAGGAAACGGGGGAAGAATTTATGAGGGTAAATTCGCTGTGGTGATCTTCCCATGCTTCTTATTTGCGTATGCTGAGACTTTGGGAAATAGAAGAAAACGGGAACCTAATGAATAGGTACTTATACTTTGGGGAACTGTCCCAGCACAAGATATCACATATGGTCCGGACATATTCACATAACGTTTAGCACGACAAAAATTTTAGGTTGGGACGGTATATTAGTAGTTTGAGAGTCTCGTGAAGGGGTATGCGACTTAACGATATAGTAACGGTCTGAGTGTACAGTTACGTACTCATTACCAAAGCATTAAAGATCACTAAGACTCTAACTTTGACCATGAGTCAAGAAGTTCTAGACAAGACAAATGCCAACGCTCTCATAGAATTGCGCAGTAATGCGCATTACGAAAAGGAGCTTTGAGTTATATGGTGAGAATTAGGGGTTATGCTAAGGCACCGCCCAAACAGCCGTCTCTGATTGATGGTTACAGCTCCATGCTATGCGCATGCCGTGACGCGTTTTAATTCAAAATCACCGATGGCGAGGACGTTAGATGTTGCGTGTCCAAAAGCGCCTCGTCAACCCACCAATCACCGGACAGTTTCAACTTTGTAGGACTTCAAGAGGTATATGGCAATGATAAATCGATATCCTCCTGAACGAACGACGCGCTCGGACGTCTAGTGCGATGCTACGATGTAGATCTCGAGCAATGGCGGATCAACGTTTAGGGGATTCCCTTTTTGGGTGGCAAGGCTCGATCTTACACTAGACCTCGCACGAATGCAGGACCATCGAACGGACTGTGCAATCCTAAGTGGGTAGACTTAGCTCTTTGCTGTCTTTCAACGCCTCAGGCGAAACTAGCCTATGAGTCAAGGGCTAAAACTTAACTCAATAATGTGTATACCGTCTACTAATAGTATATGACTCAGTGCTACCGGAGTAGAAGGATCCCATAGCGCATGCTGTAGCGCAGAGAACGGGGACGCGTGTCTATGATTCTATCAACCGGCCTATATATGAACAGCATCGCTCGTCAGCAGAGCCACTTGCTCTGGTCAACAGCATGCACGGATCCAACGTTCAAAAACCCGAGCTGTCCCCAATACTGCCTCGGACGTTAGTCACCCACTCTTCCCCTCTTGGTCGACATCTTAGCTAATAAGGAGTGAAAGTCAAGATTGATAACGCCCATCTCAGAACTTGCAATACTACCTTTTTTTTGCTGCGAAAGCTACGCAAATGTATGTATTAACAACGCAGCAGTGTCGTGACAATGCCTTTACACTAACGCCGCACAGCTCCAATCTGGTAAAGAAGCAATGCCTCTCGCCACAGCCTCCTCGACGGAGAACTCATCGAATATTCCTTCTGGTGCGGCAGCAGGACTAACGATTGAAGGTGTCATTGCCTCTACTATTATAAGGCTAGGCTTTATGATTTGGCGGAATAGACTGTTAAGTCGGATGAAGGAGGCCGAAGCAGCAGCTGCAGCGGCAACAGTGGCAGCGGCAATATCAGTGGCAGCATTCTACTTAATCATATGCTGGTACAGTCACTCATATGGCCAGGTATGGTTTTGGTAGCCCAACTGAAACAGAGCCTCCGAAGAGGAGTGAACTACACTCGGACTCCTACACAGAACTCCCGGGGACAAGGATCATTGGCACTGAGAGGATCTAATCTACCTATATATACCGATATGAGATAGGTTAAGGGGAGGTTAAGGGGAGTGGGTCAATGGTAATGGATAGGGGTAAAGTGAGGGAGGAATATTAATCAGACGATACAGTTTTCATAAAACAACGATTCAAATATTACACAAGATGCGATTTAGCTAGATCGCGTCTGGCTAGGTATATAGGATATCTCCGTAATTAGCTCTCTGTTCGCTTCCAGGTGCGTAGTATATATTCGACGAGTTGTTCCAGAACATACGGTACAAGCTTTAATTGTTTTCGAACCATACCCCTGTATATATTCAACATCAGCATTCGCGTCAAGAAGTTGTATTCGTAAACAATGAGCTGTCAAAGACCTCTGTATAAAAGGAGGCGTTCTGCACATCAAAAAAAAATTTCATAGCATCACAGCATCGCAACATTGCATTATCATCACCATAATTACTTGTTTACAATTGCATTATCATCATCATCATCATCACTTATTTACATACATCAAAAAAATCCCCGTTAATCAAGAAACCATTATGGAGCAGACTACTGGACAAACCCCTGGCTCTGAACAGCCTATAACAGTAGATACCCAATACTTTCACGAGGTTCTTACGCACTTCAACGAAGAAGGGCATCTTATCAACAGGAACACTAGATTCAACATCAAGTGCTCTATTTGCCAGGACGCACATCTAAGCCTCGTAAACCATGACTTTGATAAAAAGTCACGGGCCACTCACGAACCTTTTGCAGTTCTGCCCAGATGTGGTCATGCCTTCGGCTACGAATGTATTTCCCAGTGGCTGATGAGAGACATCAACATAGGAAACCCCAGGTGTCCAACATGCCGTACCGACGTCTTCAGCAGCAGGATGCAACCCGAGGTATTACACGTCTTCGGCACCTGTGAACCCGAAGAGCAACACCTGGAGATAGTTGCCATTAGGGAGAGTCTTCGCACCAACGATACGCCGCCAACACAGGAGCCATCGGAGCCAAGACCAGGCATGGAATTGCCGAGAAACCCACAAATTGTCTATCTGGAGAATGCTCAGATGTTTCAGCTAAGTGAAGAAGAAGGGCGAACAGCCTTTAGAATGAGGCTATTGGGGCTTGGTCTGCCACCGCCACGGTGGTAGATTTATCCCAAGATTAAACAGCTTGGAGTATGATTTAACTTGGTAGGTAGGTGGCTTAGCTGATTGAGGCGGCTCATGGAGGGCTTGAGATTGTCGCCCATAGATTAGATCTATTAGCAATACAGAGGTAGGTATGTAGGTACTCAAGTAGATAATTAATCCCACTATTAAATGAACAATAAACTGATTGTAACTTTTCTTAACACTTGTTTATGTACATAGCATACGTTCTATAGTGGTATCCAACAGATAGCTGTTAGAATAATAGCATATTTACATCAAGATTTACTCTAAGTACAATACTATATAGCCAATGTTCGAGGTCTTGGACTTTGAATGCCAAGATTTAAGTCAGGGGTGATCTACAGAGCTCACAATAACACCCCCTTCATCCCCAATACCAGGAGCATCGTCTCTACGTTTGTTATTCCTTTGATCTCGCTTATACATGAACGCAACTATTGCCGTTATGATACCCTGCGCGCCGAACAAGACCGTCGAGGAAATGAACCCCTTCCTAAACCTCGGAGAGTCTACTTGAGGGTACGTCAGTAAGGGCACCCAGGCATTAAACGCGTAGCCCATGGAGTTCATAATCCCAATGACGATAGCCCGCTCTTCGGCGTCCGCGCCGCATATCTCGTTCGTCCAGCTCATGCTGAGAGGACCGTACGGGACCGCGCCGCGCTGAATGAGGAACGCAAACCATTTTAGGCCGTCGGGGACGTTCCAAATGGCCAGGACCAAAGCTGCGAAGCCGCCGATGAATGTGCTGATAGACATTATGCTGGCCCGGCGACGAAGAGCGTCGGAGACGATGGCGAGTGTGACGGTGAGAACAAGTTGGATAGCTGACATGGCTGTGGGAATAATGTTCTGGTAGTAACTCGTCAAAAAGCTGAGCGGTAAGGATAACTATGTTTACTCACTATTTTTTCAATGGATTCTCCTCTTGATTTTAGCCACTACAGATAAGAATAAATGTCAGCCATCGATTATTTAAGGGACCCGAGTATATTTGGTATTCCTTAGGAATAATAATACCAAAATTAGATTGAAAAGGAGACGGGGGGGGGGCTCTTACAATAGCAAAAACATTGATACTCGACGACGGTCCGATATTAATAAATATAACATATAAGATTGTAAGTAGGTAGACGTGCCATCGACCTATCTCGGCTGTTAGTCTATACCGTAGTTCAGATTGAGTAATAGTTGTTGGACTTACCGAATATGCGTTTGAAGGTAGAGAGTCCTAGTTTCGTGCGAGGTGCACGCCCAACTTCGTTCATACGCTCCCTAGCCATAGCACGATCCTAAGTTTTCCCCCGTCAGTAGGTCCGTAATATACTACATAACGACAGGAACGTGCCAAGACTTACATCCTCGCTCAAGTAAAAAGCCCTTGTATTCTCAGGGAGGTCCGGAAGTATGAAGAACCCCGCGATGCAGATTGGGAGGCTGATAACCCCGTCCATAATCTAAACATGGGCGTCAGCTGAGCAACTAGAAAACTTCAAGAGCGATCTCGGACGTACAAAGAGCCATTGCCAGCCAGCAAACCCGTTAACCCCATTCAATCCTCGGTACACACCGGCTTGGAGATAACCCGAGAACATGCTGGCCGCGGCCGAGGATGCATGGAAGATGCAAGCCCGCTTCCCTAGCTCTGAGGGCTTGTACCACGACCCGAGGATCGTGTGAGCAGCTGGATAAAAAATCGATTCGGCTAACCCGACGAGGAAACGGATGGCGATGACGTGGTTCGACGTCTTAGCCGCCGCGAGGCAGAACGTCAAGACAGTCCAGACAAGCTCGCACGACGGAACCCAGACAGAGGGTCGAACCTTCGTTAGGACGATTTGCGACGGGATCTGTCCGACGACATAGCCTATCGTCCACGCAGTGTCGACAAGGTTGATCTCGTTGCCATTCATACCCAAGTCCTCCTTCATCCCGCTGACGAACGCATTCGAGATGTTAGTCTGATCCAAGTTCTTAATGAAGTACCCAAACGAGAGCATGGTAACCAAGAAGATATCGAGCTTCTGGATGAACACGCGCTCCTCGTGAGACCGGCCGGGCTCGTAGTCCCAGATGTACGACCACCATGGCGCCTTAACTTTCTCCTCCGGCTCCGGTTCCGATTCCGTCTCCTGCCGCGAAGATCCCGCGACGTCAACGGTAGACTCGTTCACCAGGATCTCCTTAGGTGAGCGGCGCTCAGACATCGTGGCTGCTGAGTGAGATGATTATTACTCCTCCGCTATTAGGTGCGAATTAACCGTATACCTATTCCAACCACGACTTTAACGCGAAAGAAGATGAACAATTTATAGAGATTATTTACAATCGACTAAAGCCATGATAGTAATTACGTCCGACCCTTGATAATAGCGAAGAAAAAGCGTAGTTACATAGACCACCATGATAGGTAAACTCCGACTCGATAACGATTGAGGAGCTTAACTTCGCCATGGCAGGGTCGGCTGTCGTGATACAAGAGGGCGAGGTGCCCATTTAAGGATATGTCTGATTGGCTAAGTTTCGGTTGACACGCAAAATGTGTTCTAGTTCGTGCCCAGGTCGATGTCATGATTGATGTCTCCGATGGCGTAATTTGGATTGCAAGTAATCGTACGGATATCCGTGTGGGGGAACATACCTATCAACGTATATTAACCACAAGATTATTAATGGGATTTATTAAGATGCATTATATATAATATTTTGGTAACTTCAATTGGCTTAGTTTTGTAGAGTATGATATGCTATAAGTCCTAATACCTAATAGGGGCGTCTCAATGTGATGATAGACTCCCAGCCTATGCCTTTGTTATGTTTTGCATATAGACCCTTTAGCCTTTAGCATCGCACGTTTTAGAATTACTAGCTAGCAATATAAAGAAAAGTATCCTACTCTCCTCTTACTAAAAGTTGAGCTAGTTGTTGGGCTAATTCTAAATGAAATTCATGACGGGTGCACCACATAGTATCAATAGTCGGGTATATATCAAGCCGGCCAAGTTAAGCAGCGCTCTAGTTGACATGTTATTTAGTGCTCAACTGCAGTGGAAGGCTGCAATCAAGTCCCTTTGGAATAATATAATCCAAGAAGCCTAGCCAGAGATTTTACGGTCCGCTGTTAAGTATCTCCGTATGTCTAGTAGGACATGAGGTCTTGGGTCTTGGACCCTATCACTGATGTATCGATTCGAGCCGAGTATATCGTAGACGTGCCCCAGGATCCAACACCATCGGTACAACATCAAATATTGAAAAGAAATTGTAAGAGCGGGAGGCTATAAATCTGCAATGTCAGCAAGTGTCTCATCATGATCGTTACATATAGAGCCAATAAAGACCCAAACTGGGCTTCCTGTGTTACACAAAAATGCAGGTGGTATTACTTCCGGGGACACGTACCGTAGATGAGGTACGCTCACGAGCCGCATCAGCGACATATGCAGGCGTAACTTCATAAATCTGTCTAGGTAGGTATATCCGGGGACGTCTTAGAAGATGAATCCATAATTCTTAAGCCACCAGTATGGGATAGCATATGTCGTAAATTCATCGCTCATTATATTTTCGTTTACTATGGCCGTGGTGGCCTCTCCAAATCCAACCTCATAATACATCACACAGTGACAAGCCTTTCTTCTGAAATCGCTCCCGCTGTCGGGGCTCTATATGTTTGGTTAGTCTTTATTGGCCTGAGGTCGATTCCTTCGATATCGGCATCTCCCCCACCCCTTGTCCATAACGTCGTTGCGTCCGAGGCATATTCGTTTGTTCGATTTCCCTGCCTCTCTGGGCCCCTAGTCCGAGGAACGTTCTTCAAAACATCGGGCTTTGAGGAGGGCTTGAGACCCATCAACTGCCTGACCAAGGGCTTCAGCATTGGTACCGAGGCGCAGACCAGACCCAAGCTCGACTCCAACGTGGTCCAGATCGCAAACGAAAACGAGTCCCACTGGGCGTATTTGGGGTTGAGAAATTCCCACGCAACAGCCATCCGCGTCAGAGAGGCGCATGCCACAAATATACCTAAAGTCAAGACGAACGCAAGAGCGACCTTTTGTCGTATCGGCAGCGTCATTTTGAGTATATGGGGGAGCACCATTCCAATCATCCACATGTCAGTTGTTGTATGCAAAGCAGCCGACGCTGTCAGAATCGGGTAGTAAGCCAGACAATGTCCCACTCTAATATCGAATTCGTATCTGTTCTCTACGGGGTTGCACAGGAAGAAAGTGAGAAGGAAGAAGACGATGCCGTAAACCACGACGCAGCCCATGGTGATAAATACGAGAACTCGTTGATACGGTATCTTTAAGATTCGCAGGTAGAACAACAGAATGCTGATCTTCGTCAGGACTAACGACACTTGATAACAGCTTATCGTCGCGTATGATAGTCGGATGCCCACCGGTCGCAGCCGGAGAGGGACATTACTGAACCTGTGGCCGAGGCCATATTTGGTTTCGACGCCAACGATTGCGACCAGCGCAATGGCGAACAACCACGCGAATAATATAGCCGCATCGTCCCACCAGTGATTTTTCAGTAGGAATCTCGAATAAAGACGGCCGATGACTACTAGACTTGCGAAGAATATCGGAATGATGATTCCGGCAAGGATGTCAGGGACCTGGGAAGGGCCCGTAAGCTATTACGGCAGTTGTAAGTAATTTTATACGTTCCGATGCCATGGTTCTGGATCTATATATTACAAATGGTGGGGATTACCTACCACTTCCGGTGCCTGTTGGGCCATTACGGAAAGATGTCGCGGTGGAAGCAAAGTGCGAATTGTCGCATGCCGGCGAAGGCGAAGAGCGGAGCAATGGGAGTGAGATGGATCTATCAACTGCTTATTGGAGAGCCGACACCAACGTTATTATATAACGCGGTGGGATTTCTTTGAAAGTTTCATCCTCTAGGCGTCAGCACAAACTGACGATCACTCGATCGGAGGGATCTAATTGCCATGTATGGCTGCTGGCTGCTGCACAAAAGTTCAGCTCTGGCTGGGAGGCTGGTTAGTCATTATTTCCACGTCCACCAATGAAGCATCCGCAACGAGATTTGTGCTCAAAGACGCTGCTGACAGGTAGCATTCGGTATCATAGCTGCATGGTGGGTGGCCATTGTCTTTGGACCGAGAGCACGTTGGTTGATTTATGTATTTCGACACATACTCGCGAGCTGTGCTCTCATAGGGCTGCTTCGTATAAAAATAATCACAGCCGCCCAATAGCAAATCCCCATCCCCCATGTCGAACCCCGTATCCGTAACAGGGGTTTTAATACCTACGTACAGCAAAAAGAAAAAGTCGCCAAGAGCTCTGAAGACCGTTTACGTACGGGCTAACGAACTTCTGCAGATGCTAAAGAGATAGCCATCGTAGATTTCGGGGTCTTATGTAATTCGATAATCACATTCATTTAAACAGCGCAGCATCCAGAGCCGTAGCAAGTTTTTACTCTTGAGTATCGTGAGGTCACCAGTCTACCTAGGGTGTGGTGCGAATATACTATTTTAGGAATCATTACTAAGGTTAATCCATATCACTCCTACTATGGTATCAGGCATAAGTAAAACGACACTGTCAGGTACCGCTGGAATAGGTTAGGCAGGTCACCATACTAAATTAGTATTAGTTTGTCCAGGGTCTTCTCAAGATACATTTAACATTTTAAAAAAAAAGAATAATCAATACATCAACGCATTACACTTTTTTATATACAAAATGCATATCAAAATAATCTCTGAATAGGCTTAAACCTGGCGTTTTAACTTATGAGTGTTGTAAGTGTTGATTTTTCTGTATTTGTTACTATACACATATAAGTATGCGTTAAACTATAACAAGTCAAGAAGCAGCAACACAGGCCACACTTTAGCGCGCGACTTGTGACAGGGGTTTTACTTACCCATCATACCATAGTAGTCATATTCAATCGCAATACTCTATTCCATAAAGGAGAAGTTGAATGATAAGATAACTAGTGTAGGTATACATTAATTCCCTTTCTATCTCAGCCTCGCTAACATCTACATAAGCAAGCATCGTAGCGCGAGTCGTGGGTCCTACGGTGTAGTTCTAGCAGCAGGCGGCCTCCTGAGATAACGGCTCGAACATTCGATCGAAACTATTCACCTTTAGCAACCTCGAATGACGGCCAAACGATACTCACGAAGGGCGGTGAAAAAAGGCCTCGAGAATCTCAAGTGGCTAAGTCACGAGCGCCGAGGCTTTGGCTTTGTATTCTAATGTAACCTTACCCCACCACATATCTGCTCGGCTCTGTGTAAGAATTCATTAATCTAGTTAGAATCCATCCTTCGAGCTCTCTTAAGAGGGGTGAGGATGACAGTCAGGTACTAAGATAGATATTTGGTTTTTAGTTACGATTGCGATAGAAGACCCGATCGGAGCAGAATTCACACGCGTCTTGTCGATATATATATGAGATATACCAATTCGACAAACTGGCCTGACGGATGTTTGAACTTACGAGGGATTATAGGGGTCAAAGCATACCAATCACTTCCCTGGCTCAGTCCTACGATACAAGTCGACCAACCCGTCTTTTGATCAGCAATCGTCCTATGGGCGTAATGAATTTCCTCTACTGTTACTTATCATGACGTGAATAGAAAATGTGAAAACAACTACGTTTTCGCGCCAGGAACTACACACCTAACTAGGTCGAGATCACCAGTTAATATACAAGTAACGCCTCTTACTGGTCGTGAAGTAGATCTCCTAACATCACTGACGCACCAGAGCCTTGTCTCATCTCACGAAATAAGCACTATATCGATAGCACGAATAATATGACGTCGATGGCAGGGCACATAAAGAGCCAGCTACGGTCTCCCCCAATGCTTACATTGGCAGGATACGGGGATTTACATACTCGCGCGAATCCGTCGGTTAAGAGCCTATCAATAGTTCAGAGAAGAGAACGTCCAATATTTCAAAACCGGATGACTTATTATTGCGTAGAAATTGGCCAATTAGAACAAGACTTAGGATTTGAATGGTAGGATTCTGGTTGTAACCTCAAATATATGACCTGGGGTAAGAGACGCTTGGCCTCATCGTAGCCTCGACCCATTGAATGCCGTTTGACAGTTTTCAAACTTAGGATTCATCATCGCCAGCTACCTAATCAGGAGGCTACATAGTCCTGGCTGAATACCAAAATGATATTTTCGCCTGTGGTATGCGTTGGTGCTTTGCCTCGAAGTTGCCCATGAGTGTCGAGCAAATTTCCCCCCCTCAAGTTCTTGGCAAAGTACATCTATAAAATCTTAAGAACTTTTAGAACTTCTGGTAATGTAGGAAAAGAAAGAGCGGAGGACTTTGAAGTTTAGAGAAATCTCCCATCGCCTTGTTGTCAATGGTATGTCTAATGAGAAGCTCTATTGGCGGGTATATAAGCTGGTTAAATCGTCTTCGAGTACGATATAGAGGGCCCGCGCTGATATCTCCCTATTAAAGGTAGACTTGAAGCGAAAATAACTAGTCAATGGCAAGGCACGTAGCAACTCGAACCAGCTCGCGGGGTGGTCATAATGGAAATTGACACGCGAGCTTAACAGATTCTATATAAGACCCTAGATTCGGGGTATACGTAACTAAGCTCAGAAAGGGGTTAATGTATGTTTATTTATCCCGAACTCTACGTATTGCAATTCAATGATGAACTTGGGTCAGCATCTTTAAAGATACCTACCCGAGTTACTATGGAAAAGCATAGGTTAGGAGGTAGTTAGGTCATATTTAACCGTGAATACTATTCATTCTTTTGAAGATCGGAAATAAACATCCTGTCAAGCGGCTAATGTCTTAAAGTTCGGGTACCTACAGCTCGATATCGATAGATACCGAATTCTCGAATAACACTTATGGCGAACAAAGGCGCAAGTATCCGGGATCATATCGGCAATGGAATGCAGCAAACCCTATCAGAACCGCAAGTGAGCATTCACATTACATCATGATATCACAGCGGGCGGTGCGACAAAATTTACATTATTTTGTTCTGAGGTGTTACGAGACAATGTTATTGGAGCGCGACGACGGCGCCCCCGGTGCTTTAGGAAATAGAACGGACTCAGAAATCAGCCACGTGCGTCACTTGGGTCAGCGACGTGGGAATGAATAATAACTCAATTCTCTAGAATTTCCGCATTGCCGCGTGGAATCATGTACCTCTCCATAGTGTCCGTAGGTACATACGTAAGCCTTTCGATAGCGGACATATGAAGCGAAGCAAGGACTAACGGTCTTGGGCTCTCGTGCAGAATTTGCGCACAAAATGGTGACGAGGCTGTCGCTGTATGGACGTGATAGTCCCGACGGCCCACAGCAGCTATATACAATCATCAGCAAGATGACGTGTCGACAGCTGCATTATTGGATTCTTTTACATTAGTAGTGAACCAATATGCGACCAGCCAGAGAAATTATAGTTGGGACTTCTCCTCCCACTAACACACCGGAGTACCGGTACTTGGGGGTTCTCGCATCGTGAAATATATGAAAAGTCGGGTTTATTAATCTCATCAAATCTAAGGAGCTAAGAAAGCCTTGGCCGTAGCTCTAGTAGCACTCGGCGATATTTAAATATCTTGGAAATATCTTGGGAGACCCGGCGATTTAGAAGCGTATATTAAAAACTCGATTGGGGAATAACTGAGAACTCCAAGATTACCGGACTCTTATGTAATAGTAGTAGCATGAGTTATTACCTAATGTAGAGGGTTAGCGGCCTACGATAGCATTAGGGGGGCCATGCAAGGTACAATACTAAACGGGCTTTAGGCTTAACTAATAAAGTTAGTAAAGTCGGAAATTTTCAGTTCCCCCCAAGGGCCAAATCTTTTCGGACCCCTTATTTTAGGTACCTAACCTATTCTAGCTTCCTACAGAATATCCTCTTTCTTTCACCCATGAAGCAAAACTATTACACAAACTTGTCTATGCCAAGAAGGAAAAAAGATACTATCTTAAGATATGATCCTATTCTGAGCCTTAATTAGACTTCTCCTTTGTGCATTCAAATAGCCAATACAAACTTGCTCGTTTAAAATCCTCTGCTTCCTGTCGTTCAACCAATCCATTAACGGTCCTGTGGGTTACCATGTCAGGGAGTCAATGTCCTGATCTGGCCGATCGAAACGCATGCGCTAAAAAGCTTGGTACTGACGAAATGAGCAGAAACTGGGGTTAATAAAGGACCGTCCTATCATGGCGCAATAACTACGACCACGATTGCACTATTGCCCGCGAGTGGGTATTTGCGAAGTTACCTACTACGTAAGGTAGCATGGCAGCACGGTCGTAGCGTTTGCGACGATCAGGCCTCTCTCATGGTCCATCATTATCATTCATGGAAATCACCCCTGGAATGAACGAAGGGGTCGCAAAGAGAGAATACATAGGCTTGACAAGAAATAAACCAGATCAAGCCCCAGCACGCCCAATGTGGCATGTGGCATGTAGCATGTGGTGTGTTCCTATTGATGGTTCCTGGCTTAGCCGCAGATCCCCCTGATCTCGGCCCCTTCTGGGAATATATGGGAAACCAGATGGGATACATGCAATCCCACGTCAAATTCGCTATGTCGGGCAAGTCACTGATTCATGCAGACTGCAAGGTACAACACACTCTAGACCCAGGTCACTTATCCAATCATCTATACTCCTGGACCAGCCAGCCCAGCCAGCCCAGCCCAGCACGAGCCGACAAGATGCTTGGCCGGTGACATCCTTGTCCTTTTGTGGCGTCCATCTATGAAACCGACATTCTGTTCCCACTCCCTCCACGTCGCCCCAAGTTCCTGACTGTAGTCTTTAATTTCATTTACCCACCCCCTTTCCCACTCGTTACTTAGGTTGCTTCCCTTCTTCCTCTCTTGTTGACCTTCAATAATCATTGTCATCGTCTTTCTTTGCCCGGAAGCAATTCGCTGTCATTCATTGTAACGGTGATTTTTCACCAAGTCGCTCTTTAACAAACAAACATTCAATTCAGGTCAGCCGAGGAGGTTCTGACTTGCGCTTCATAACTGACCTTTCTAGGTGTTTGCTTGTCCACGTTCTCTTCATAGCCTGTTGTACTTCCGGTCCAGTTTTTGAGAGAAAGGTACAGCCCAACGTATACATAAAAATAATATTAACGGGTCGAGAGACGCGAAATATCTCTACGCAAAAGAGCATATATCCTTGGAAAACCTTACAATCGGGAACAGCAAACATTGTTATTATCAAGGACTTCCTTTCGATCCCTCACGATGAAGTACTCGACCGCGCTCGTCGTGGCCACGGCCTCGGCGGTCAACGCGGGTTACTGTAGCGACGCCTTTGAAGAGTTCGGAAACTACTTCTGCCCTAATGCGGTTAAGCAAATCAAGTATAGTGGCCTTGACATCGCTGGCAAGTACCGCGCCGTTGCCCAGATGGACAACACTGGAACATGCACGTTCGAGGACAAGGACTACTCTGGTCCCATTGCCCCGTTCGACGAGGATGTGAGTACTAATTCCTCTGCCGCGGGTGGATTTTCCCATTTCTAACGCAAGCGCAGTTGACTATGCACTTCCGAGGTCCCCTCGAACTGAAGACCGTCGCTGTCTTCACCCCTTCTTCGAGCGCGTCCAAGCGTGAGGTCCAGAGACCTCATTCCAAGCGCCATGGCCACCAGCACCTTCACAAGAAGCACCACGAACACGCCAAGGCCGAGAAGCGCGAAGATATGGTCGTTGCCACGATTGATGGCCAGGTGGTGTCGTGGGTGAACAATTATTTCGGTAGTGCCGCCGAGACCTCTACCACCGCTCCGGCTTCCGCAGCTACGGAGACCCCTGCTGCTTACCCTACTGCCTCTACACCTGACAGCAGCTCTAAAGCGGCAGCTCCGTCGTCGTCTAGTTCCGCCTCTGTCGATGTTCCTGCTGGCGACTTCCAGCGTATCGCCTACTACAACGCTCAGGACCAGACCGCCGATGGTCTCGTTTTCCTCGGTAACCTTGGTGACCCAGCTATCTCTGGTACCTGGGACACGTAAGTGCGAAATAATCGCGAATGAAAGTTCTGGTGACTAACTTGTTTGCAGTGTCTGGGGTTCTAGTTTGGCCTACGCTAACGAGGATGGCACCAAGGCTGCTGCCTCCCCCACCGTTCTTAAGGACTGCCGTATCGAGGACAACAATGAAATCATTATCGCTTCTGATGAAAAGTGCGATGACAGCTGTGGTGCCGTTCGCCCCGACTCCGTTGCTTACAGTACGTTTGCCTCTTGAAATAGAGTATTATCAGGTTGAGTGCTAACAGCTGTGCAGAGGGATTCGGTGGTGCTAACAAGGTCTTCCTTACCGAGTTCTCTATGCCCCTGAGCGGCCAGACTGGCTGGAACATGGATATGCCCGCATACTGGCTGCTAAACGGTGCCATTCCACGAACGGGACAATACAGCAGCTGCAGCTGCTGGGCTGGTGACAACTCGAGCCCTACACAGGGTGGTTGTGGTGAGGCCGATATCATCGAGATCCTCCGCACCGGTGACACCAAGGCCAAGTCGACTTTCCACTTCGCTGCCGGCACTGGTGACTCTCACTACTTCGACCGCCCGACCAACAAGACCATGAAGGTTGCCGTCGTCTTCCAGGCTGCCTCGTCCACCGCCTCTATCAAGGTCCTCGATGACGACTTCGACATGACCGGCACCAGCCTGACCTCCGACCAGGTCGAGGACATGATCAACGATGAGTCTGATACCAGCCTCTTTAGCTTGATGACCTTCGGCGCGTAAAAATTTTGGGGCGGATCGGTCACGAGGGATGAGGGTGACGAGGAAGAGGAAAGGAGGAAAGGAAAGGAGGGGTGGATGGTCTGGGAACGACGGTTGACGTCTGCTTCTGGACTTGCTTTTTGATGTGTCTTCTACGATGGATATAGGAGCAGTTTTGCAACGTGTTTTTCTGCACCCGATATTCCCCTTTTTGCATATTTTGATTTGATTTGATTCTACAACATCAGGGGGTGTTACCTCGTCCCGAAGTGTTTGCTTGAAGTGTGAAGTTGGTTAGGTACGCGTGAGATTCTACCGAGCTGCATGTTAGAGGTGGTGGGCCGGCTGGGATTCCTTGGGCGTTAGAAGAAGGTCTGCTGCTGAGAAGATTGCGCGGGGGTTTGTCGTGATACCGCGAGGCTCTGCGAGGTCTTGGGTTGCTCCCGAGACAGACCTGGTGTTCCGTGATATTTCGCTTAATTTACTTACTTCCCGATCGCAGACCCAGAGGTAACTTTCATCCCGGGCGATGTTTCAATGGTATACCTTGTACACCCTCTATCTTGTGTTGTATTAGGATTTATCGCGATAGCCTAGGTACCTTTAATGTATATACAGCATACAGTTAGGAGGTAGTTAATAGCTTATTAGAATCAACCTTAGAATCAACCTTCTTTACAGACAGCACTTACTCGGGTAATTCTTTGCCAATCATACATACATAAATTTATAATATCTAACCCCCCTTCATCTTTTACGCTAGGTACTCACTTTACCTTTCTACATCGCTTCAGAATCGTGTGTCGGACAATGCCGATTTTCGCACGAGCGATATACGTGCGACACTGTTGAGGGGTAGGGGTAGGGGTAGGGGGAAGAAGGATCGAAACCCAAATTCTGGAGTTCTGGAGACGCTCCTGGCACGTGCCATTGCGTAGGATTGCTCCGTGGACGGTAATAGAGCATGCTTCGGGGTAAAGTATACGATGCAGCGTTGTGAAACTGCTTCCCCCTTTTCCCTTTTCTTGGAACTAGAAGGATACCCGGGTGCTATGTAGGTTCGCGGATATTTATCAGCTGTTGGAAGTCTATATTCTTAGGTATTTTGCAGGCTGTGAATTTTTTTTAAATCATTATATACTTCTGTTTATTAATGGGTTACATATTCGCTCTGTCCTAAGATGAGAGATGATGGTTATTCAACCAGGTGTAATAGGGAGGTTGCGCAATTAGCTACCTAGGAAGGTAGATAATCGCATAAAAATCCCCTTAAGATAGACTTCAGATAAACATTTTAAGGATGACCGTTAATACTTAAACGCTGTTGAGACACTATACTGTAATCGGCCAGAGGATTTACGGGTGGTAAATGACCCTTCGATATATTGAACGTGACAGTGAACATAACATACTTGCCTCAATAAATCCGAAGCTTTGCCAACGAGCATCTATAAGAGGCATATGGCCTCTGAAGCCTCGGCAAAATAAACGTTAGTTGCCTAGAGATAAAACAATACAATTTTGAGTTAACCTCGAAGGTAAGATAACTCTCCTCAATGTGGTTGCTAATTGACTCGTAAGTCGGGACAACGAACGTCAAAAATATCCATTTACCTACCTGAGATAAACATAAACAGATACGTCTCCGCCTCACCAAACTAAAATCAAACGTCATAGTTAGCGCAAGAGCATTTACTTCGTTAACTCCGGAGAAATATCTACACTAGGGCCCGGCATTCGTAGGGCTAGGTCGTTCGCCCCGGCGTCTCCGAGGCGTAGCTTAGTTATGCTCCGATGTTAGAGGCAGGCTTAAAAGTAGACCGTATTTAATATCGTAGTTTACGCGTGGAAGGTAGGTAGACTGTTAAGATCAGACAAGACCGGTGCGTATTCCAAGTCCCTCGCATATTTGGCGACCTGTACCTAGAACCGGATGTCTTGCGTAAACCTCTCGACAGAACAAGTAGTTAGCTTGATGAAAACTAGTAGAGTCGGCCACGACTGCGTAATAATCAGAGCGAGTCTACACTACGGTAGCTCAGGAACAAGCGAATGGGCTAGAGCCCCCAAATAACCCCCACGGCGAGCCGAGTACCGGCAATTGGTGGATCGATTGCGGCTCCAATGGTGGAGCGGCGATACATGCGCTTAACTGCTGTCGGTTAAGCGGATAGGCTCCGGCAGATCCTAAAGACGTCACTCGAATATAGAGTGAACCGCTATATGTATGAGAAGAGTTTTTGTTTTCGTTGTTGTTAGCCCTATCGAGGCGCCATGCCATCACGGGAATAAATAGTATAGCAAAATTATTTCCGTAATTTTCTTAATGTAGAATATTGGGTAGAGGCAATATTGGCCGCCAAGCCTGAGCATCTCGTCCGGGTGGGTGTTATTGGGTAAGAGATTTGACAGATTTGAATCTTGTAAAGAGGAGAGATCGCCCTCAGGAGCATAGCCAGCCCAAGACTTCCATATTTCGCAAATATTTGCAACAATCGAGAGTTTAATCACCATTGCCTTCTTAAATCAAAACTAGTTTTCCCACTTCTTGAAAGACGTCACTACCTCCTATAAGTAGTCCCTAGCTTAGTCTTCAAAATGGACGTCGTAGCTATACTTGACTACGAAACATCTGAGACATGTTATAAACACCCAGAAATGACTCGAGAGGACCAGGGGTTATCATCCATATCGTAACTTCAACTCAATTAACGAAATTATCGGCTCATTTGAAATCCGAATTAGTTCGTGTTAGTACAATGGCGCCTAGAAGAAGAACGGATCCCGAAGCCGACCTCGGCCGTCAAGATAGACGTCTCGAGCCAGAAATTCTTGCAGAACTACCCGATAATGTTTCAGATCAGCTCCCAAGCGTATCCCAGCGCAGGTCTAACTTACCACGTATTATCGATCCTAAAGAGTCGAATCAGAGTCGCAGATCCAACCCGGCAACTACAAACAAGGCCCAACGAGCAAAAGAGGGGGTACGGAGAGTAGCCAACAACGGTTCGCGAGAAGAGCCTTTGCTATGGATTGACGATGGGTATTACGAAGCGAACCCATAGCATGGCCGGACGAATAAGAAGCCAATTTTCAGTCTCGGGGCGCCTTTGCCACGTAAAATCCGCTGGGCTAAGGTGTCACTCATGGTGACAGATATAATGATGCCGGGCAACCCGTCTTCGAATATCAGCCAGGGGGAGAGAATTCCACTCACAGAGAGCGTACGAATGATACGCACGATACTAACAGAAGTAACAAAGAGGACCTTCGCAATTACGGAATCGACAGTGAACCGTTAGGCCAGCGGGAACATGGCGACGTGGAGGAAGGGGATAGGGACCCAGATGAGTTCCGTAACTGGTGGGCCCGTATACGAGCTAAGCATCCTGAGCCATTGGCTGAGTTTCTTGCGGTATGTCTTTCCAGCGCTCTTTTTAAGCTGCTCGAATTAACTAGGTCCGCAGACAGGAATAGCCGTGTTTATGGGGTTAGGCGCAACCCTGTCTGTAAACCTCTCTGCTACCCAGGATGTTAAGTATGGTATCTATGAGACTTCATGCTGGGCGTGGGGTTTTGCTTGGATGTTTGGCATCTACCTCGGCGGCGGTGTATCCGGTGCTCATATGAACCCAGCTATTTCGATTAGCTTATACTGATATTCTGTCACATCCCCTCTTACGATAGTCTTTAACCAACAGTGCTAACAGGGAAACTTAGGTACTTGGGCTTCTAGTCACTACCCTAAAATTTACTCTCGAATACACAATAGGATCAGCACTGAATCCAGCTTCGGATTTTGGCCCAAGAGTCGTAGCCTGGGCAGCAGGCTATCGAGGCCCGGAAGTTTTTCAAACAGGGTGGTGGTTTTATGGCCCATGGCTTGCTACTCTAATGGGGTCCTTCATTGGGTGTGTCTTATATGTATGATGGCTTCATCTTTGTCGGAACTGAGAGTCCGATCAACTACCGAACGAAGGGTGGCGTTAAGAAGTGAACTCGAAAGCTTTTTGACTTTGCGAGAAGGAAGTGACTACCTATATAAGAGGTAGTTATGAATTAGTGATGTAGGAAACAAGTCTTGCATTATCAAAAGTTGTGCGACTTTAGAACACGTGGTCCAAGCGTCACGTCTATAGTTTAACTTGACTGCTTGACTGCTAAGAGACGTTAGCTTAGTAATAATACATCACGTGCAAAGGACCGTTTACCGCTTTGGCCATAGCCGAAGGAAGGTGCGGCTGGTGTGTGATTGTTAGAGCATTCCATGCCAATATACCGAGGTCCTTCCTTTAACCTTTTTGCCTCTCCATCTTTAACCGTCAACTCGCAACTTTCAACTTTCAACCCTCTTTGTCGCAACCACTCGCTCGTAACGTCGTCTCTCATAGTATCTTGGGACACCTTGATAAATTGAAGGTGTGTCGATTACAATGGCTTCGCCGCCTAAGCCTTGGGAGCGCGCAGGCGCGACAGCATCTGGTAAGTTATATAATGTTATAATGTTACTTCAACTTCACATGTCATTACTGTTTACTGTTTCTGTTACTTACTTCTTACCTAATTCTAGCAAATCCTGTTGCCTCAGCAGCGACACCGACACAGAATGCTATCAATACGCCATCGTCAACAACTGCTGCACCTTCTGTGCCGGGCATGCCGGCTATTCCTCCCCGTCCCGACTCGCTGAACTCGGCCGTGAACCAGAACGCGTCGGTCTATAGTCGAGCGCCGTATAATGCCGCATATAGCCCGTATTCACCACCCTACAATAGGTATGGAGGTTATGGTGGTGGAATGTATGGTGGTATGGGTGGCTATGGTGGTATGCCCAGCATGTACGGTGGTGGGATGTATGGGGGAATGCCTGGCATGATGCCAGGCGACCCGAACAATCCCAGCAGTCTGGCCAATCGTGTTACCGATAGCACCCAAGCCACCTTCCAGCTGCTAGAGGGGATTGTTGGCGCCTTCGGTGGCTTTGCACAGATGCTTGAAAGCACATATATGGCAACCCATTCAAGCTTCTTTGGTAAGTCAAGTTGTACAAGATATATATATTATGAACCAGTCGCTAACCAAGTGACAGCTATGATATCTGTTGCCGAGCAGTTTGCTCTCTTGCGCAACACCCTTGGATCGGTCCTCGGTATTTTTACCATCATGCGATGGTTTCGCACACTTTTTGCGAAGTTGACTGGTCGTCCACCCCCTGTTGACGCTATGGCACTCACACCGGCAGCCTTCGCCCGCTTCGAAGGCCGTCAAGCCCCATCTGGTGGTGCTGGAGGACAACCTAAAGCCAGCCGGAAGCCTCTCATTTTCTTCCTCCTTGCCGCCTTTGGTTTGCCTTACGTTATGAACAAGATCATCCAATCGCTTGCTCGGCAGGAGGAGCGTAAGCGCCTTGAATTTTCAAGTCAGAACGCGCCTCTCGATCCTAACAACCTTGAATTCTGCCGTGTCCTCTACGACTTTACCCCTGAAGCCGGCAATGCTACCCAGGGAGTCGATCTCGCCGTTAAAAAAGGCGATTTTATTGCAGTCCTAAGCAAGAGCGATCCTTTAGGGAATCCTAGCGAGTGGTGGCGCTGCCGAGCTCGGGATGGACGCCTCGGATATCTGCCTGCAACATTCCTAGAAGTGGCTAAGAGACCTGGCCAACCCATCGCTGCCATCAAAGCAGCTCCGAGCGAACCTGCGTCATCTGGGAAGACTGCCCCCAAGCCACCGGTCGTCACTAGTAAAGCAGGAGATATCTCTCCTGAGAGCTTTCAAAAGTCACAGTTTTATTCTTAGGCAGATAAAAGTGTGGATGAACAGATTTCTCAGTTTTTGAGGCAACTTGGGAAACATGATGGGCTCCCCACCTCCAAAGAGGATTTTCAGCGGCACCGGAAGGGGGCTGAGGTGGCTAGAAAGGCCAATCCTCAATCAACACAATCCGACCGAGACCCATCCAAGGCACTGAAGAATATGCATGTGCGTTTCCAGCCTACCAATCGTTTCAATGATGACCCTGAGGCAAGACGGGCAAGAGAAAGTTATATAGAGCAGGGATGTAAACTGGAAGCAATATGGGCGGCGTCGCAAGAGTTGTTGATGGGCTTGAACCCTCCTACGCGGGATTCTCACCTATAAGTTTTAAGCTAACGAGCGGTATATTTCGTACGTGGCGTTAAGATTTAGGCAAAGATGGCCATAGGCTATTGACGAATGATAGGATATCTATGTGAAGATGAGCTGTTGGGGGTCTACAACAATGATGCGCTGGTTTTCTTTAAAGTCCAGATTATGTTTAGGGGGAACAAGTGAAAACGCGAGTTCCGAGTTATGTGGGCAGCCACGGTCTGGGTCGTTCTCCTATTGGAAATGTTCCCGCGCTGAGCATGTTCACCGGCGTTCAGGACTCCTCCGGAGTACGGGGGACACATACCAATTGCTTTTGTTGCGTAGGGTTGCGAAGGAATCAAAATTATAATGATTCTCTGGCTTAATAACATAATTTACTATCTGTCTGATACGGCGCAATAGGCATCAACATCCTTGTGACTGACTCTTTGATTGCCATGCTTATAATAACAGTTTGCCTTACAAGGATAAGCTATAGATAATCCAGGGTGAAGCAAATCTCTTGAAGCGTTACATTGTCCAACAGTATTCAACCCCTATACTTTGAAAGTATACAAACAGATTAGAGAACCAATTCTCTACCTAGGAAATTTGCTACGTTTTACCCTCAGTAATTAGGTAAATTGAGTGGTAGGTACCTACCTAGCTATGTCCTAACCAGGGACATCAACAACTTATCTGATATATCCCAATAAATCGTCATCCCAAGATCATCAATAGTCCCTTATACAAAAAAAAACAAGCCGATCAAGTACATCAACAAGAACACGTCAGAAAGTCTACAAGGTCTTTATCATCACTTCTCATCATTCCAAAGGAGTATCGAACCAATCTATGCTAATGTCATCCCAACTGGTCTCATCTCGTTACCCCCACCATCTTACATCGTACTATACACTCTTTACACCTCGCCCTCTAGATAGGTATGTGTGGCAAATGACACACACAGAACCTCATTGGTACCTAATAACTACTCAAGCCGTGACCCTAAAATCTAGTGTACCAATGTATACCTAGGTAGGTATCTAAAATGTATGTTCCCCCCTACCTGCCAAAGTACGCCCTCTCGATCGATCTAAGGCCAAGATAGCTTACTGCCGCAAACCCAAATGCCAATTCGAAGCCCGCGTCGCCGCCGAACGGTGCAGCACCACACAGCTTGCCTATGGGACCTGTGAACCACTGCTGCGCCATTCCTAGCACGGCGCCACCAACACCTACACAAAATGCCGTGACGGCGGCGAAACCGGGGGGCAAGCGGGAGGGGTTAGCGTAGTCCTCAGGATTATACCGGGTGAAAGAGCCGCGCCGGAAAACGAAGTGCTCCGTCAAGGAAACACCCTCGTAGATGGCTAGCCAGTAACCAATGATAAGCATGAAGCTTTCAAGCGTATCCTCGAAGTGATCATACCCCGGGATTGCGATGGCGATGTATACGGCCGTGCCGAGTAAAGTCCAGACGAAGCGCGGTACACGCTGCGTCTTCTCTGATAATACTTGTAGCGACAACGAGACCGAGTATGCGTTCGGGCAGTTGTTCCCAATGATGGAGAGGCCCAGCATCACGACGCAGAACTCGCCGAAGCGGCCGAGACGCGGTACGAGGACCTGAGCTAGCAGGCCACCGATATGCGCGTCCTCATAGGCTTCGACATAGGTTTCGTTCGTAGCCATAGCTGTGGCTACGGCAGCACCGAGAAGCTCGGTAAAACACAGAGCGACAAACAAGCCGGCGAAAGTAAATAGGAAGATAGATCTCCGGGAACGGTTCACCGGTTGGTACACTGTGTAATCAGCAGCGTAGGATGTCCATCCCGTAGCAAAACCATATACCGATGCCGCGAAAGATAGTATGCCACCTGCTTCACTGGGTCCGGTCTCGAGCGGAAGTAAGCTGTTGAATTCGCCGGAGTGGGCAAAGGTACCCAATACGATCATGAACATGACGAATACCGGGATCCAGGACCACTTCTCGTAGGCGTGGACGATTTTGTAGCCGAATGTGCAGATGGCTAGTGTCGCAAAGGAGATAACCAGGATGCCAGCCCAGCCAGGTACATCTCCGTTGACCGCGTGGAAGAACTGTGCGCCGACTATGACATTAACTGCAGACCAACCAATACACGCCAGGATATTGAATACGGCAACTGTAGAGTGGCATGGTTAGAAAAAAAAGGCTTCTGATATAAGTTTCAAGGGTGTTTATTTTCTCTGTAGTTAAACTTACTTAACTTGACGCCGTAGAAGCCAAAGTAAAACCGCGATAAAACCATCTGTCGCAGCCCGAATCGGGGCCCAAAGGTTGAGAAGAAACAGACCGGCATTATACCCAGGAGGTTGATGAATATGATTGTCAAGGCGCTGTCTACGAACCCTAGGTTAAAGACGGGACGCGCAAGAGCGCCAATCGCAAACGACGAGACGACCATATTGGCCGAGAACCACTACACCATGTCAGTAAGAAAACCCAAGGGGGTCTGTAGATCGCATACCAGTGTGCCGACCTGGGTCATACTCGAATCCGTCCTCTCATCACTAGGAACACGCTCAATGCCTCTCTGCTCGACGCCAAATTTACCCGCGAAGCGCTGGAGCTTAGCATACACGGACTCGCCCGCGGTGAGTTCCTGGCTGTGAACGGCATTGCTGTCGCTAACGTAGCCGAAGCCATAGTCGATATCAGGACCCTTAGCCTTGCGCTCGGATTCGACGTCGTCAGCCCTCATATTTCTATTTAGCGACATTTTGCGCGTCGAGAAGGGGGCGGGGGGGAGGAGAGAGAAAGCTGGCGAGGGGAGGGATGATGATTGGCCAGCCGGGTTGTGTAAGTCAGCTACTATGTAGCTAATAGCTGCAGTAGGTTCGATCCCGCCGCGTCAGTAGCGAGGCGCGGAAATAGGTAAATATACCTAATTAATCTGCCCACTTAGACTTAGAGTTTGCTGCGGGTTGTCGATTGAAGTATCTAAGGTAGTTGGAGCTGAGGTAGCTGAAGCTGTAGCTTTGCTCTGCAGCGCTTGTCGTCAGTTAATTCCCGTCCTTCTCTAGGACAACTCCGCATCCATCGTAGCCGGCGATAGATGGAGGGACAGGCGAAAAGGGATAAGTTAAGTTAAGTTGAGACCAAAGAAGAATAAAAAAAAAGATCGGAACACGCCGACCAGCCGGACAAGACGAAGAAGAAGAAGAAGAATTAAAATACCTCGGGACGAATTAGAGCGGCGTCTTTGCGAGAAGCTAGAATATGCTTACCGGTGACACAGGGTAAGGCTAGCTTTGCAGGATGAGTAGTAGATTGGGCTGGGCATGCAGCTGAGCTGTATGTACATGTATGTGTGCACCTTAAGGTACGGTACGTCAGGAATTTGTGTACCTACCTGAAAAAAAGAGGGACGACGCAAGGTAGGGAAAAAAATAAATGAACGGAACCGACAGCTATTGACAGCTGGGATTGTTATTGGTTGCCTGTCGAGATAAGAAGCAGGTGTCGACAGGGACGACGAGATGTGCAAACCCTGACACATGGTGCGGGACGTGGGTTGCGGCGATAAGAGGTGGACCGGACATTCACTATCATGTTAGGGAAGGTAGGTAGTCATAGGATGTGGTAAACAAAGTCGAATTCTCATGATGTATGTATGTGGGTATGTATGTATGTAGTAGCTTCGTTGTGAGTATTATATAACAAGACAGCAGGCAGATGTAGACACCTGGAATATTATTGAAGCGCAAGACTAACAAAAGCCAACCTAGGAGAATAATGACAAAGATGTATTCAGTCACTATTAATTAAACTATAGCTCTCTCTCTGTCTCTCTCTCTCTCTCTCTCTCTCCTCCGAGTGAGGAAATGTTACCTAGAGATCGTGGGGAAGACAACGATGGGTTCAGAAGTAAGAGCTAAATAAGTTCGGGGTAAGACGACGGTTCACACGATAAACCCTGATAATTCAATGGTATAAGTCTAAGAGATAGAGAGAGAGGCAGTTTGAAAAGACAAAGCAATTGCTCGCATCGCATGCTACCTATGAAATGCCAGAGCTCCAATGAGTTACATGTGCGTCATGAAGGCCCATCTCGAAATAGTCTAATATATAATATACCTTTCTTCCTCATTAATTGCAATTCTTTAAAAACCACATCTACCTCGTTATTTTATCTTTTTACACTAGGTATCAATCAAATCGAGCATTCAATATCTCAAATCAGGACCGAATAGAACCAAAGCAATTGCAGCTGAAGAAGCTAAAGCTACTAGGATCAAGGATCAACTCGAACCCAATGAGACATCCTGACCGCCCGCATCGCATTTCGACCGCCATGCAACGCCGTGATTGGACGATAAGTCATAACCCACAGTATATACATAGGTACATACTTACCACATCCCGAGGCTTCTCGTTATCAATCAGCCAACCAACCAACCAACTCGTTATCTCTACATAAGCCCAGCTTCGTCGGCGACCGACATGCTTGAAAGGTATAACTCGAATAGGCAGGCCGGTATTAGTTTTTACCAAAAAAAAAAAAAAAAAAAAAAGCCCCTCGCTCAACTCCGAGGACACAAATACTAAAACGGAATCGGCCGTCTTCAAAGTATCAAATCAACACAGTGTTTGGTACGTATTTACGTAATAAATCAATAAATAGTTCAACCTAATATTAGATCTGCAGCCCCAAGATCTAGGGACCAAAAGCTTATTCGCAACCCCATCCTTGGCATCCGGTGGGTATTGGGTATTGGGTATTGCACTCAGCTGAAAGTCCCCCACAGATGGGACAAGAGTCCGCAGGAATACTAAATATTAAATACTATTACATATCTCATACCATTGGCTGTTGTTGTTGCTGCCCTTGACGTACGGATGCCTTGAAACCAAACGCGAGATTATTCCCATCGTCTGGAATATATTACCTACCTAGTTACCGCATCCTGCACGCCAAACACATACACGTGAGACGAAAAAGAAAATCAAAAAATCAAAAAAATCCAAAGTCAAGCCGTATAGGTATAGGTATAGGAATAAATATATAGACCCGGCCGACCACGACAGCATGTTGAACGAAGGAGAGCCGAGGCGGTAGCATCAGCTACGACCCAAAACATCATGGTTAATCCCTGCTTGCCTCTATACCACCCATACATAGTATAAAATATATGAAAAGGCATGGATAGATATTAAGCAGCAACGAGCACACAATGCCCGAAGCCATGCTCAGGCGTATCCTATCCACATTACCTACCTACCTAACCTAGTCTGTACCATCCCGGAATCCGGAAACCTCGTGTTTCGTCCACGTTGCAAGACGGCGGAAACCCGCAGCCCATCCTCGCGGCACGTAACCACCCTCCACCCCCTTCCTCCCCGCTCTCCCGTGTGACGGCAGGCCTGGCCTGGATCTTTCCGAACCGCCGCGCTATATTACCTACCTACCTACTTACCTACCTACCTACCTAAGGTACCTAACCTTATATATGCCGCGCTTTTTCGCCAGACCGCTATGTATTGTACGTCTAAACATCTTTCTGCTAAAGCCACTATCCGGCCCCGGACAAGGAGCATCCCTGGCCCGGGCCGCAAACAGGACGTCGTCTAATTCAACTGCTTACCTAGGTCTATATCGCAATCCGAGGAGAACGGGCCGTAAACGCCAAGTTAGTCTTATTGAGACGTATTTACCTAGTAGGTAGCGACTACTACTTTTAGTATACTTCCGCTTGCATTGTATGTACTTTTGATCATGCCTCCGCTCCCTCCTTGTCAACCCCGTGGAAGGCGGCGCTCAGTACGTGCCTTTATCGATGTACCTGGCCACCGCCACCAACGCATCTACCTCCTGCCGTCTATCCTCCCAGACCATGTGGAGCATGAATAGGATCAGGTCGAATCGCTCAGACGTGAGATAGATGCTGATCGCCAGCTCGGCCGCAGGCACGTAAAAGCCACCCCTACTCCAACCTACTATCCAGATCCTGCCCACCTCGTCGCGGACAAAGCTGCTTGGATCCAGTCGCATGTTCCCCAGAACGAGTTCATCTACCTCTACCTTGACAAGTGGAGCGGCCGCCGGTCCTCGTTGGGCGTTGACCATGTCAACTAAGCGTCCGAGATGAGCTTCGTATTGCTGCTTGTCAAAAGCGACGCGGGAAGCGAGTGTTGGGTGCATAAACACCCGGGAGCGGCCCAATCCTACGGGGCCGGGATACCGGGAGGTGTTTGCTTGCATTAGCTTGATTAATGAATAGATTTGGAAGGATATGTGAGCCCGGCTATCCTCGGGAATATCAGACCAGATCTTGCAGAGGTTGGGTCCGTCAATGTAGTCCATGATGAAGCATATATACTTTGTGCGGGGATCGCGGAAGACCAGGTGGACCTTGGGGACGCAGTCTCTCAGCCCCTCTATCCCCTGGATATACCACATCATGTCCGCCTCGAACTCGGTGACATTTGGGCCCTACTTAGCCACCAGGTGAGGGGAGATGCGTGATATATAGTTTCGCGACGTTTGGCGCATGCTCAAGACCGGACAGCGGTGCCAGTCGGTGATAATCGCGGAGAGAATATTAGCAGGAATCAGCACGATCTGCTCCGTGCTGTACATCGCCAGTGGATATAGAAACCCTCGTCCGAGACTTCGCAGCTGAAACGGGGTTAACTACCTGCTAAGAAGAGGTGAATGATGGTACGAAACTCACATCGTAAATCATGACTTGGTCATCCTCGCGGCTATAGTCGGTGGAGGGAGCCCAAATGTTTGGCGTAAACACTGCTGGTACTAGAACAATAGCTGGTTCCCAATGGTCCCAGCCCGGCGGGAGCGCGAACCATAGAGACGGGAGTATCTCAGGTGGTGCCATTTCGAGGGGGGGGAATAAGTGCTGGCGTCTCCTATGGTAGAAATATTCAGTATCATGCTCGTCCTCCGTCGTGTCTCAATCCGTTGTTTAACTATTTGATCAACCCAATAGTATAGGTACTACTAATACGAGAATGATTCTCCGGGCTTGTCGAGAGCAGAGCAAGCGAAATGGTTCGATAAGCTTGAGATGATCTTGATGAGTTGATCATAATAGCTTAGGAAGCAGTAGGGTAAAGGCAATGGAAACCTTACCTAAGGTACCGGGTAGGTATCCAGGTGTCCAGAGAGCAACGTAGCGCCTTACCTTCCTTACCTTGCTATCACCATCGTCTCTACCTTCTCACGTCGAGTCTAAGAAAGACCCAGCTCAGCTCTCCTAAAGTTCACGTACGAGCCAATCTAGAAAACGAGAATGACTTTTCACATAACTTAGGTGGTTACCTACCTTAGGTACTCTCATATTTTCTCCCGAGATATGTCTTCCGGTCGCATATCCATCCGTGCGCTGTTCGCCCAGAACTATATATATAAATAGAAGTATTTTAGTAAGTCGACACGGAGAGGGAGGGTGAAGTTTTATCAACCGCTTTCTAAGTTTTAACACAGGTAGTATTCGGTGGTGGTTGCTTATATAACTATTCGCCGTTACCGTCTCATTTGCAACTTACTACTACTACTATTACTAGAGTTTGCGATGATTGTAGTTGAGATTTCTATAAGTCACAAGTCAAGTAGTAAGCGCGGATATGGAAAGTTCGATTTAGTTGACTTTAGGAGCAATGTTACATGTGATAGTGGATATTTATGTCGTATCTTCGATTACATAATACATACTAAACTATATTTATCGTATTTATCCAACTAGGTAGATTCTAATAGCCTACATAGTGTAGGCGGTCGGGCCTCTGGGAAGGAGCAATGGTAATGAGGGCATATATAAGATTTCCACCACTTGAAAGTGGGGTACCTATTAGAATCTTTCCCAATAGAACTTTTCCGGAACGAACATTTTAAACTTTAAAGAGGTAGCTTCGGCCATTCCATCCCATCCCGCTCCTGTAGTGGAGTCTCACCATCCGGATACGGTTTAGTTCCATTCGTATGTATGTATGTTGCTATTTTTTTCTTCTCGAAACGTTCTTCCATCCATACCTAAGCACCGCCGTCAATTTTACGGCCTTCCCATCTTCGAGGTAAAAGGCTATTACCTAGCCCTCGCCTGGCCAACTCTCGTATCTCCCCTAGCGACTTTATTAGTAGTTCTCATTTATCGAACTAGGTTACCGGTACGAGTCATTCAAAACTGTCCAATACTCTTGGCAAAATGGCCAAAGCCCCGGGAGCCTCGACGAAAAAAAAGGTATCAATTTTCAGCCACTCGATTTTCCGTGTCTTCCGCTCGGAGTCGCTGGAACGTAGATGACAATTCCTTGTCAGCAGCCCCGTTTGCGTGTCTGACAGGTCCGTCCGCAAACTGTTAGTTTTCCGGGAGGGTTTAAGTCACCTTTTCGTCATGTCCCCCCGGTAATGGAATCACAGCCACAGGCTCTGGATCACTCAGCGTCTTCAGCCGCGGTCACATCTTAGAGCATCTGAGCGTATCCTGGCTACGATAGCCGCATAATACTACGTATAGTAAGTCAGTCCATCGGGCTTTCAGCTCACACGTGTAAGCGGTTACTGTGGCGTGCATAAGGCGAAAGAGCTGCTGCATATCCCCGAGTTCTTGGTTCTATCTAGTCTCCAGTCTAAGCTTAGCGGGTATCCGTCCGTCGATTTCCTATTTATTATATTACGGAGTGCCGCCTCTCATCTATTTATTGTGAATCTGTCGTCTTGTCGGATCCTTCTCTCTTATAATCCATGTTACTTAACGTCCACTTGTTACGTCTCATCTTAGAAGATCGCCAAGGAGGATTCTTCCATCTAACTACCTAAATTACGTTGATCCTTCGAGTTTAAATTATCAAATAGAGGCAACCCGCCAACTTTCAGTCTCTTTTCGTGACTGTTGGATATCTCTGGGTTACGGCGTAGCGAAATCATCAAAGATGCACTTCAACTTCTTATTACCGGTCATAACGGCTCTCTCGTTATTAGGGGCTCTGGTAAACGGCTCGCCCATCATGTGTCCAGACGTGAGTTTGCGTAAAGGAGTAACTACGCCGACATTATACTGGTACTAACACTTATCTAGTCAAAACGAGATGCGATTCTTAGCGGAGCGATGCCAGCAGAAGAATGTTGTAGTTACGGCGTTTGCAAGAACACAGTTGTAATCGCGATGGGACGTGCGCAGGAGAAAGACAGTTCGGCAATCCGTTACAACGAAAGGCGGTGACGAAACGAGAGTTGACGTTTTCCCTGAAGCAAACACAAGCAAACAAACAGACACACTCATCGACATTAAAATCCTAGCATGATATCGGCGTTTTTTTTTTTTCTTCTAGTGGTCCTAGCATTATCATGGACACTACTATGTACCATGGTTAACTGGCGTTTGGTGTGGGGCTCTCGGCGCCCGAAAAGTCATTTTTTGTGAGATTGGAATTTATCGGTCACCAATCAACATACGCATTTGGCCGATAGGGTAGGACGGAAGCGTCTGCATTGCATACGGTGGAGTTTATCAGAGACGACGTTACATACCATCTTCAAGAAAGATAACCCCCCAACAGTTGGAAAATACCTATTGATATCGAGTTGGCATCTTGATAGCTTACAGTTTATAATACGACTATGAGGCTGAATTCCTCCGAATTAAATTTACTATTCTTTATATCGGATTTTGTTTTAAACTATTGATTCATCACGAATACTAGGTAGTTAGGTAACTAAGAATATTAACTTAGTTCACTAGAGTATAACTAAGATAAGTGAGAATAATGAATGATGACATGATACATGGTGGATGCATCCTGAATCGGCCGAGGCCAAGCGAATAGCGTTCGGCCGTCTGTGCTATCTTCTCGTATCTGCACTGACAACAGATGCGATGCGGCTATCTGATAATGCAACTTACAACATATATCACGCCTTCCTGTAGCTACGGCCAAATTCTTATTTGCCGTGGTAGCTTTCTTTTTCTCAACCCATCAGTACATAGAACTTTGCAGTTGATAAATTGAGATCTGAGATGACTATACCGTATCGAAGCATAGTCCCAAGCACTCGGCGTAAAAGCGCCAAATTAGACGCGGCTAAGGCGCAACTAGCAGGCATCTACATACCTAAACTCTTTCGTTCCCCATACCTTATATTTCGACAGGCGGTACTTAGAGACTCTTGTTTCTGGCTTGCTATGATGAAGGTAGGTAGGTATGTAGACTGACGAGAACCTTGGTAATCTACTAACCTAGATCTTACTGGTCTAAGAGGTAATTATACGTAAACATTCGTACATCCCATCTCTTAGCTACGTTACAACTCATTGCGAATAAGCGATTCGCGTGCACTACCACACTATTAATACCCTCTTCGTATTTCTACACGTTAGGTTAGATTCTGCAGCGCATGACTTCGCAAGAGTCAGTATCTCGGAATTAAGCCGAGTAAATATGTATTGTTCTTAAATGGTAACTGGCTAACTATCCCGTACTTCAACAAGTTCACTTAATACCTATTATGTAGTTATGCCTTTAACATACGATAAACACCGTATTAGCGGGGCTTTAGTTAGTATAGCATCTTTTTTAAAGCTAGACCAACCCGCCGGCCTAATACCTAGCTCGGACGGGGTTTCCCAGAAGGCTTACCTATTTTAGGTACTTCCCAAGTGGTAACTTCAATTACCTAGCAGCTCTGGACAGGAACAGGGGCCGCTAAAAACATGAGCTCCACTTGGTCATTAGGGCATGTAACACCTACTAACTCAACCACCACAACAACGAATATAACTTCTTACAACGCGTTATTTCTTCACGAATCAGACCAGAGCTTCTGATCCGAAATATCGTGGGGGCTTGTGGTTTAGTGGTATAATACTCCCTTAGCATGGGAGTGGTCCGGGGTTCGATTCCCCGCGAGTCCATCGTTAAGAGGTTAGATTCCTCTTATACCGCATTTTTTTCTTTCTTTTTTTCTTTTTGAGTTGGTTTTCTTTTTATATAGGTAGGCTACCGTCTTGTTGCTTAGACTACCTCATGTAGCTGTCACCTAACTGGCGGATTTATTATCTCTCATCTGGCATATATTGAACATTGAACTTTTGTTGTTTTAATTCCCGGACTTAAGCGATAAATGTACTGTGACTACCTACCTACCTACCTACCTAGCTTATGACTTCAGCTTAGGATAGAAAATAAATGATCAAACCTGAATATCGCTTTGTAAATTCTCATCGCTATGCTCCATGTCCGTTCAAATATGTACACTAGGTAGTTTCTTTTTTATATACCGCCCTCTCGAACAACAAACACCATGCCTTTTCCTGTCCAATCATCGTAACTTCGTACCCATCTATCTATCATCTATCCTCACTTTCTATCTGCTATTGCTACTCAAACCACAACGATATTGCTAATCTTGAGCCCCTGGCTCTCAACATGGTATCTCCTCCGCAGACCTATGCTCCTCGTCTTCCGCAACAACTCGTACGCCTCCTGCCCACCTCCCGTCATCAGCATGGCGATGGGATGGTGTCGGGGGAATCCCGAGGGGGTGCGCTGCGGCTCGTCGAGCAGTGGTCGGATGAAGTTGAAGCCCCATGGGTCGTCCTTGTTTTCGTCTAGTGCGTCTTTATCGTCCGACACGATGACCACGAGTTGCAACGCGCTGCGGCTCGGCGCGAACGACGGTATGTTGGCCAGCTTCTCTGAGAACGAGCATCCGCCCCGCCGCATCACGATTACTTGGTGCGCCCTCGGCGCTTCGTCGGGGAGCCTACCACCGCAGGCTTGGTCGGCGAAGAAGATGCGTTTCCAGGATAGGGACTCGATATACGGAGTCGTGTTCGGGTTGGGAGCTTCGCGGATGTCGGGTAAGGGAGCAGCACCCACCCCTACTGGGGTAATCCCGGGCAGCTCGACATACTTATAATCCGGCTTCCGTACTGGTTCAGGCCTGAAAGTAGTGACAGGTTCCCGCAGAGCAGACGTAATCTGCTGCAGAAAAGAGCTGAACAAATTGGGACTATCGACGGTAGTCTCGCCATCGAGCTCAACAGCAGGTTCAGTCTCGAGGGTGGCTTCCCCATCCGCAGATGTTGCATTATGAATTCCTGGAGCTTGTGGAGGCTCAAGCTGCAAGATAACGTCGACGAGGACGGAGTCGCGAACACGATGGAATAGAGGGTCCGACATGTGTTCAAGGACATCGCGAGAGATCAGAACCTTTTCATCTCGTCCCAATGCTAAGTTTCCAATGCTGTAAACCCTCCAGGCCCGCTCGGATGTCTCCGGGGGATCTTCTACGAGCAAAGCTATCTTTAGTCCGGTGAGACTATTGATCGCGATACCGTCGCTCCCCATACGGACAAGGTTATGCCCGCCGAACATGATATTGAAAGCGCTGCCCATAGTTTGTTGGCCGTTGGAAGCGAATTCGATTACGGTTGTCTGAGATTGTTTTGACACAGCGCAGATTCCGTCGGTTGGAAGCATGTAGCTCGGCAATGTCCAAGGGAAGTAAGTATAGTTTTCTATCGGCTTCTCTGAAAGTCTTGTCTGTGATTTAGAACCGCCCAGTTTGGCGACTGGGTCTTTCAACCCACCGTGAATGTTAGGTACTTGATGAAGTCGAATTAGGGTCGCAGCATTGTAAAGGTCTGGCCTCGCGGCAGTAGCAGAGCCGGATAATGGGGGAAGGACGGGGGGACGAGGACACGTATTGGTAAAATGGGCATCGTAATAGCTCTGGACAGCCCTCTCTGACGATGACTTGTGAACTTGGGGACTGGTTTTCTTCTTTCGGGGGATGATCAGGGGATGTCCCTCTGTAGTGAACACATACGAAGCATCAAGCTTGTTTAGGGGATGATCTGGGTCAAAGAGTAGATATAGGTACTTGGCAGTTTCCCCAAGAAAGAAACTCTCCATGCGATCGCTCTTCTCTCCAGTGCGCACATCCTGCAAACCAGACCACCCACATTTCGTCCAACATCGCCTGTTGATATCTTTTAAGACCATTTCGCCAACGTAAAGGTACCAGGGGTCTTGAGTAGCACGATACAGGTGGTAGGTAGATTCGATAAATTCTGGTCGGCCAGGCCACCATCCGAGACCGCCCTCGACATTGCCATCGCGGACGGACCATCGCTCCGGAAGGGCAGAGTACCGAGTCCATAGAGCTGAGTATACGAGGTGCGTCTCGATGGCTTCGTCAAGTTCCCCAGCAAGCGCTAATAGGCCCGAGTAATACGCACCTAAACTATCTATCCAGTATGCTTGTGGCGAGCCGGTCGACATGTGCGCATTTACGTAGTGCGGATGATGCAATCCTGAATAAAGATGCCGTTTAATAGCAGCATGTGCATGGTGCCACGCTGACAGGAAAGAATCAGGGGAATTATCCTCATCTGAAAGGGGATTGTAGATTTGATTAGGGTCGAGCCAGTCCCCATCAGGAACCTGCGGTATTGTTCGATTGGGGAGCTCATGACCTGATAGCAGGATATGGGTCTTGAGAGCATATTCAAAGAAGCTATCAATACCCGCACCAATCCCAGAGAAACCCCCAATCCAATGTCCCTCTTCGGCATCTACACCAGCACCAATCAGCCCAATATTGCTTCTTCTTGACCAGACGGCCCAGAATGCCCTCTTGGCCGCTTGCTCGAATCTTGGGTCTCCAGTGAGGCGGCTCAACACGGTAAACTCGAGAACCAAACTGCCTGCTCCAGCACTGCAAGTTTCAGTGATTTCTGGCGAGTCTTCAGGTGGCTTAGGATCCACATTAGCGTTGTTATGGAGCGGCGAATTTACATAGAACGGTATCCCATGGCGGAGATTAACACGTGGATAGGGCAACCCGGTCTGAGTATAGAAAGCCGGAAGCAAGCGTTGGGCGAGGTCGAGAGAAAGTCGTAGCAGTTGCCCGTCATATTTAAACCCGTTGGGCCAGGGGAGAGGATGCTTTTCTAGGTCGTCATCGTCATCGGTTGGTCTCCGTGGCTCATACCCGGAAATAGGCAAGTCACCAACAGCGAAGAGGTGGGCACTAAGCAATCCACCAACACCCCTTATCACGGTCTCGAAGACCTGGACCTTGCTATCGACGTCAAACCCACGAGCGCGGGCGCCCTGGCCGGACGGGCCGGGCCGCCCATCGCCGTACTGTGCAACTAAGGCAGCAACGCCGTCTTGGAAATCGCGTAGGGCTTTGGGACCTGTATCTCCATCTTCGGGGGGCGCGGAGGCAAGGATTGCGAGAGAGGAAAGGCTGTCGATCAGGGTCAGGGAGTAATTGCCGAGGACATCATTAAGCGCTATGTTCCTAGGATTGAGGGGATCTCGAGTTAAGGGAGTGCAAGACACGGGCCGCAACTATAAATTATAAGCTAATGCACAGGTTTACGCCTTGGATTTATACTCGGTATTGATTTATACTCGGTATTAAACGTCCATACCTCATCTTCGGGAAACGCAATGTTCATATAATTATCGAATCCGTGATAAAACATATCGACCGTGTCGCGCCTCAACTCGGCGATGCGACCGGGGCGCATCGACTCTACCAAACTCAGCCATGACAGCAGCAATACGAACAGCAGGATTGGCCTGGAGTGTGGGCGAGGGAGGCCATGATCATGATTCGTTGAGCGGTGCGAGATGGCCAACATCCAACTGCCCATGCCTGGCAAGGGCATCACCAGCAGGAGAGAGAAGAAGAAGGCATGTGTATGAAAGACTCCAACCGCCAGAGCGAGGGACTAACTCGCAAGACTTTCCCACCGTTTGTCGGAGACCAGCAAAGAAACAAAAATAAAATATAAGTTATCAAAGTATCAGAGCGTTAAGGTTGGGACTATTGCTCTAAACCGGAAGCCAAAAACAACGCAAAAGGTCGAATGTTGGGGATACGATGATACGATCCCATCGCTATGCTGTCAATTAATGATTTGAAATTCACGATAACCTTGGAGTTACAAGTTGCACTAACAAAATCAAGCCATTTGGAATTAGGTTAAATGATAGCGCTTCTGGTACTCTTCAGCGTTACGTTATCGGGATTCCACTGGACCGGGCTAAGGACACGTGCCAAACGTGCCAAACGTCGGCATGCAAGCACCTTATGTAATTCTTTTACATGTACTATGTACCTAGGTAATCGACGGTACAAATGTACTCCTGTAGGGCTGACAGCTTATCGATAATCTCGATGTAAGTTTAATACTTCGTACTACTTCGTACACATTAATAAGTGTAAAATCTCAAGGAACCAACAACAAACACTATGCCGCCTCTTCGCTTCTACGCTTCTAGATCTATTCGCGCCCGAGTAGCACGGCATCTTGTTGGAGCACGAACAAGATAGACAGGCGTCAATGTTACCTTCTCTGTCTACGTTGCTCATTGTACATTTACAAATTACAATACGACTACAGGCCGCACAGTGTGTAGCCTAGCGGCGTAGGCTCATGCTTCTTACCATACGCCGCGTAGTACTTCAGAACTCTGTACCACGCTGTCGGCATGAGTAAAGCTTGTCACTTCCAGGGGATCCATCACGAGGTTGAGGCTTTTGCTGTAGTGGTGTCCAGGAACCATGGCGTCGGAAGGCTCTGTTCCACACCTCCGATCGTTCACCTGCCTCCCTTCGCGGCTGCTGCAGTGGTTGAGATAAGGCTGGGTGGCATACGAGTAGCCGTGGGCTTATCCATGTAGCTAATATTAGCTCTGGATGAAGTGCGGATCCGCAATGTATTGTACAATACGGGGGAGTCTGAGTGCTTCAAGCGAAGACTGCGAGGATGCCTGTATGTATGTTTCCCTTACATACCAGCTTTCCTTCGTAACTGATTGGTAGCTTTTCGGCTACTGTGGTTACCTCCTGCGCTTAAAACGACGCAAGGGATGGTTCTTAAGCGGTACCGCCACTGGAACTCCCTAACACAGCATGGGAGGCGACGATCCACCTCCTTTACCAGATGTTGAAGCCCTGCTAATGGCCTGCTCTTTTAATCACTGGTATTCCCCTTGGCACCTGCGTTTCATCCGATTCGACATCTCAATCTCCGTCGCCTTTGCGTGGTGTCGTCGCTCCTTAACATTGTCGAAGGAACGACTATGAGACAAGCGACAACATTGCCCCTTAATGCGAAGTCCTAGGATGTTTCGCTGGTGTAGGACTTCTAAGCTTCCCCTGCCATATGTAACCATCCATTAACATTGGCGAGTCCAGTCCTACAATCACTCTAGAGGTGAGCAAGTTGACTTTACCAGCTGCCCAAAGTACAAAACCGTGACTAGGACTGCGTGAAGCCCCCCTGACTGGATTGCCTGTGTCCCTATGGCAAGGTGCTCCGCTTTCTCAGATACATTCAACAGCCCTATCCCTCCGCCGGAGACTTTTTGATAAACTTTTCATAGGTTCATAACTATCTTGACCAGCTGGGGGGCACAGCCAGCTGGGCGGCCAAGAGCCCTATCAGCGAACAAGCTTTTGGCGTCATATAGTATGCTCAAATAAGATGATCCTCAAGTGCCAGTAAACGACAGCATACAGCCTATTTAAATTAACAAATCAAGATCTCGAGAATGCCTTAGGTGCTCTATGGCAGTTTGGGAATAGTACAAAACGATCGGCCGCTCAAATTGTAAATGAGAAATGTACTATGATTGACTAGAATTTGAGGACATACATAATCGACCGGGTATAGTTGAATAACAATAGGCTATTATAACGTACAGTCTACTCCTAAATCGATCAGGCAAACCTGGGGGGGAGGATTCCCAAGCATTGGTAAAGGCTTTCTTGTCGATATTTACCCCTTAACATAATGATAACGAACACTACCTAATAAGCATCTATCGTCAACTACGTAGAAAATGACTTCATAGAGCCATTAAAGCTGATATTTTAATCCACTTGCTATAATTCATTCCAAGCATCAAAGATATTTCATACATACATAGTAATAGGTCTAGATCCACACGAGATATAGTATAACTCCGAGGGCTCGGCTCTCATCGCAGGTAAACCCCTGAGATAACTCGGAAATCCTCGGAAATTCGCTGGTGTCACTAGAAATATTCATATTACACAAAAACAGGCACCACGTTTGTTTCAACGTATCCATCGCCCACCCCAAGCTAATTTAGACGACAGTACCTAGCCCGTAATGGAACTTCCTCGACTTCATTACCGCTAGCGCCTTAAATTTTACTATATCGGGCTATAGCCTCAATGGCGGCATACCTCATACGTGCGATAGCCGCAGCGCTAGCCCCATGACTTAGGGGTGGAATGGAATAGTGTACCCTCTACTAGCAATAGGGACTAGGACAGGGGCTCTTTGGATATCTCAGGTTTTTAGGGCGACGAGATGAGGCGGGCTGGTATTTTTGTTTACTGAACTGGTGCCAAGGTTAAATTAACAGACCGCGGGTTCTGGTTTATCTACCCCGGGATACACGTAGCAATTACGAATCCGCCTCATATGTAGGTATGTAGCGTTCTATGTAATGGAAGGCATGTATGTACTCGTGCGGCACCCCATCGGCTCCTTTTCTTTTACCTTTGTTGATTACTCAACAAGAGATAGATGCCCCTTGTTATTTATGATATTGTTTCATTGTTTCATCACGGACGTGAATTCCTAGTTCTTCATATGCATCCATCTACAAGGAGAAAGCCGTATCTCCAGGAGGAGCAGTTGTTGCGTAGGCCCACAGCCTTGACGGGGTCCCGTCGAAGCCCATATATACACTATGGACTGACAGGGTAAGCCAGAGTACATAGGGCGTTATTAGATTAAGTAAACAGAAGAAGTCTTTCATTCCAAGCATCCCGTTACTATGTATTCGCATACCTACTACCTCGGTAAGTATTCTTTAAACCGACACGCGGTACGCAGCCAAGACGATATACTACGTACATAGGATATGTAAATCGGTGAAGCAAAACTGTATACTATTTCAGGGTGACATTTAACTTAATAATATGTCATCATAAGAGTGTATTTCCCGCTCGTCGAAACCCGCCGAACTATAATAGGTACCTAAGGTAGGTAGGTAGGTAGGTAGGTAGGTATAGTTCACAACCCTCGAATAAGCCGTCTGATGTTCATCTATCTCTATTTTTCTCCTGTAGAATCCCTAGGTACATACATAGCTCATAATGTACCTAGCCTAAGCCAGGTTTAGTATGCCGCGCTGAATACGTACCTACCTAGTGTACATAGTAAGTGTAAATACAGCCAGCCAAGAAGCCCATTCCTTGAAACATTTTCGGACCCCATCGCGGATCGGTCAGGGTTAACACGTGTACCATACCACTTACCGTTAGGTATGTACATAGCCAGAATGGCGTCAAGTTAGATGACCCATTCTCACCCAAGCAAATAACATACTATGTACCTACTTACATACACATTTTATAATCTAATTTCTCAACCAAACTAAGTAGGATAAAATATTTAAAAAATATTATATTAAACTGGATTAGTCAAATATTATTCTCTATAAGTTTTATTCAGTTTTTATAAGAGTTGATAGAGTTATTAAAGTTAAAACAAGTATTAAAAGTTGAGAAATTAATATCTTGTGGTTCCCCCCTACCCCGGCCCCCTTTCTGCTTAGGAACTTTTAAGTGGCCCTATCGTCCTTGGCATCCGTGCCTCTTAACTCAAGGCTAGCATTGGCCTTGTACAATACTAGTGTATGTATGCAATTCGATCCTGTTCATGCGGGTCGAGTACCGGTTTGCATTAGATGGCGACATAGTGCAACTCCCATTGACCTCTATATATCTACCTAGGTTAGGTTAGGTACTCAACTAAACCAAATAAGTTTAAAGAATCACGATATCAAGCTCGCTACCAAAAGGAAACCCTCGCCATTTTACGATTTAATCCACAGCAGCCAAGATAAGATCTTAAAATAAACATAAATTGCATAAAATACTCTCTTTTGAAGGTTTAGCCAGTGGAGATATTTTTTTAATCCATGTTCGGCGGCAGGGCGGTTAATGGGATATACACTACACTAAAGAATCCCATGTATGTAGCTTGTTCAGGGCGCGGGTTAGATTACCAAATTCTTGCGTATATCGTCACTGGACCTTGTCGCTGATAATTGCCAGGCTATTGATATATGTATGTCATCGTCGCGAATAGTTACTAGAGCGTATGCATGTATGAGGTATGTATGTATGTACGTACGTCGTATGTATGGTATGGCAATGCCGCCCGCCTTTCCCCTCTTGACCGCCCATCATGCAAGTCTCATGTCAGCCAGCGTAAGCTCTAAGACCTCGGATCCAAGCTGTCGGGTTACCGCGCAGCCAATACTGAAAAAAAGAAAAATTTGTTCATCGGCAGTTGGCCACTCACTCTTCGGTCGTCCCGTTTGGAAAGGGATTTTCAACTCATACATTGGTATATATATTTCTAAAAGTGACGCTGACGAAAGAGTTCGACCTATGAACTGGACAAAATTGGCGAGAGCGGGAGGCGGCGTTGCAGATGGTATTAGTAGTTCTGCCCTACGCGGACAACATCCCAAGCTTAATGGGTGGGTAAACAATACACGTGTTATGCCTGTAGGTTCTCAGATCACCATTGGGATCATGCTGTCTTGAACAAGCTCAACGTTGCTGTCAACCTCCTCGATAGTTATAGTAGGTATGTATTCGAGAAGATGTCAATAATAGCTGAACGCTAAGAGTCAGAAGAATGTGGATCTTGGAGAGTAAACATAACTACACTACTATGTAACTATGCGATGAGATTGATATGTACATCATAAGGGTAACAGGGTATCCGACCAGGGTAAGCAAGTATAGTACAATACATTCCAATACGTACAGAGACTTTGTAGTTTCGCTCGCGCTTCTTCCATCGGAGCCGGTGAGAATTACTCCAATTTACCAAGGACGCGGCTCATAAAGTGCTTTCTCGACGACTACATACGTTAGATACCTATTACATACCTCAGCCGTGGCAGCCGTGGGGGAAACCCGGTTGTTGATGGGGTCTGGTTATTGCATTAGGCTAGTTAAGGGTAATCTTTACCATCTTTACCATGTACATACAAAAGGGGCGGTGACACTAACAAAAAAACCCATCCCACTCTTGTCTCCTATGAGGTAGGTTAGGTAGGTTCAAACACAACCAAGGCTTAGGTAGGTATTCAATCTTTACATCTCGGCTCCATCTCTAATCTCTATCTCCGTTAAAAACGAAGCCGAGCCGCGCGTCTGTTATGTAATCTAAACTGCGAGACATTTCCACGTCGTACGAAGGAAGCAGTCTCTTGGCATAATGGAGGATAGAACCACCTGCTGCATTAGGAGTGGACTATGATATATCTATATTTTCGGATTATTCTATACGGATCCCTTAGAAGCCAATTATCGATCGCGTCGACAATCTCACGCAGCTTAGGAGATTTAGTGGCAACTGGGAGAAATACTCGCACTCGCACATATACATAGTGTATAGCCCACCTCTACATAGTCGGACCGTTACCGTGTAATAACGCCGTACAACTAAACCGTGCCTCTTACATAGCTCTACTTACCTACGTATGTATCTGCACCGGCGCCATCCCGCCCCGGGCCAGATCCCCAGCACCCGGCATATTTGCTCCCGGATCTGGAACGTAAGCCGAGTGGAGAGCAGGATCTATGTAAGCGGCACGGCAGAATCCCCACGTGTCTTGGGTTCCCACTCGAGGAGGAGGCGGCAGGGCGGTAAGACATGTATGTAATGTACAGCATGAGTAAGGAAGGAAAGGAAAGGAAAGGGAAGGGAAGGGGGCCTACAGGTTTTCGGACCTCGTGGTCTGGTTCGCGGCGGAGGCTATACTACACTACATACCTTACCTATGTGCATACATACATACCCCTAAGGTAGCACTGCCGTCTCAACATCAACCAAGACTAGACCCCCCGGTGCGGAAGAGCGGTAGAAGACGAAGACTCTGATAAAATTAGAAACGGGCGCAGTGCGCCCCTCTAGGGTTCTGGTTGTTTCTCCAGCCTCTCTTCCCCGCGGGTTTGGCGTCGATGCCCGCTTCCATTGCACCAACACCAGATTTCTAATCGAGCCCCGGCTCCCATACATTTATGTACCTAACCTAACTTACTAATTCATGCGATCGCGGGTCCGCCATGTAGCCGGCCAGGTAAACAGAGAGAGAGCAGAGCAGACGGCACAGCAGCTGCCTACCTACCTATATAGTAAGTGGATATAAATTTAGGCCACTCTGCTGCTGCTTAGCCACCCGGAAGACGGACACTACTAGGTATTAACGGGCACGACAGTCCGGATCGGTCGCTATATTGTCCGAGTAAAGCCAGAGATCGAGTAAACCGATGTGCCGTACTTGTGTCTGCTCGACCGGTGGCGGTGAAGATCACGTTCCATCAAGGAGAAACGTCCCATGTCATATACACTAAGCTTCTACATAGCTACAGCCTACAGTACGTAAATAATGCTACGGGATGATGGTGGTCAGACACAATTCATATGGGCAAATTAAGGTAGCATGATATAACTAGCGGCGTTGCCCGTCCGCTCAAACGCGGACGGGGGAAAGGGGGAAGAGGAGGAGGGGGGGGGGGGGGGGGGTTCATGCGCAAAACTGACGCCACAGCTGGAGTCTGGCCTCTGATTGGCTAGCCACACATTAGCGCACGTCCGATGAATTTTTTGTAGAATCAATTGAACTATTTTAGTATTGTATAAAAAGTTTAATAATTAGTATCATTAGATAGAGCTCGTTTTGCATGACCTTTCTATACTATTCGCATATGTTTCAGACGTTATGCGATAGAATGGCAAAGGGAAAAGTCGCAAACTGCGGGGCGATTCTAAGTATCTGATTGGTTGAAAAAATTGTGGCAGTACTAATTAAATATATAAGACTTGATTGCTAGTCTAAACACCACGCATGCCCCCCTGTCCCTGTCTCTCATTATGTAGACACCATTTCTTTAAACCTTGAACCTTGTACGGAATACACTAGATCCTATCAACTAAATTTACTTCCACATTTTATATAGTGTATCAACTTCCATCAATATTCAAATTATCCGCTATTTCTTTACAGAAGTACGTCGTAGACCTATACGTAACTAGACTTAATAGATACGGTAGAAATACCGAATTTGAGTGGTATAGAACAACTATGAACATAGCCTTAATGAAAGGAAGGCCGCGAAGCTCGTGATATGTACCTGAATCGAAGGCAAAAATTACACCACAACGCCTCGGCCAAATTGTCCGCATAGGCCTCGTTAGACTTCCCCCGACGACGCACATGAGTCAACAGGAAAAAAAACAAAAAACAAAAGGCCCTGCCCAAAATCCTCAGCGTGATCAAACGCCATATTACCCTACCATTTAGTGAACGCTGACGAATCCCCACGCCGACTCCAAACACTCGTTATATTTATGGCTTTGAAGCATCGTCTAGGAACGTGTAAGCAACTATTGAGCTGTTCTGAGTAGGAATGAAAAAGAAAAAAAAGTATTTTTTTTGGTTGGAAAAATGGACAGAGAGCAGAGGTGCCGCCCGATAAAATATTATCAATGGCTGTCGACCATTGGGACGGCACCGTATACATGATCATCCCTCCTCGAGAGTATCTGCTCGCATGCCTGCTTGGCCACTCGTTCGCTTCGACTCTCGCCGGCATCTGCATCGGCGCTTCCCTCAGGGGGCAATGTGTTCGGGTGTTCCAGGACGCCATTCATAGCGTCTGGATCTGAAGATTCGGGGTCCGGCTTACAGTAATGTTCTAAGATATAGTTCTCCTGCTCGGAGGATATCGTAGATATCGTGCGGTTGTCTTCCTCGTATGGAAATGTTGAGCCCGGGGAAGCCCAGGATTTGGTGCTTGACCGTTTACTCGTAGCTTTTTTGGATTTGCGGCGAGGTTTCTTTGTCACGTCCTCGGGATCGAATTCCTCGATACCCAGGTCGACTAAGCGCTTTAGGATGTGACCCTCTTTCCACTCCCAGGCTTGGCATCCTCCATACTTTTCTTTCATCAGTTTGGCCAAGTCCGAATACCGACGTCGGTCAAGCTCTTCGACGGCGCGTTTTAAGGCTTCGTCCTATATTCCCCAGTTAGCTATCTCACACCAAACGCACCATTCAGAGTTCGGTGTTAATTATGCTCTTATTGTGTACTCACCTCTTCTGCAGGCCATTCCGCATATTTTAATACCGCTCGGGTAAGGTTCATTTGTAGTGATTCTTGCCGTCTTTTCCCGAAGCGTTCCTCGTATTTCTTTGTTATCTCCTCCCATATCCCCTTCCCTTTATCATTGTCCATTTGACACCTAAGCTCCAAGATGAATCGGTCCTTCTCGGGAGCATCGGGCCTCAAAGTAATACTTCTGCCCAGCGCCTTGGTTGTTGAAGACGCATCTCCATTTGGCGACGACAGCTGAGGGTCCATGGGATTCTCACCGTCGCGTTTTGAAGGTCCTCTGTTCTGAGCTCGCGGCCTCTTCGGGGGTCTACCTAGCCGTCCGGTTCTCGACTTAGACTTCCTCCTGTACGATGTAAAGTCCATGATAACTTGTGGCTGATGTACCATACTAGGGTAGTGATGATGCATACCGTCCATTGGTCCAACTGAAGGGCCTAGGTCTCGTGGGTCCGGGGAGTTTTGCATGACGGGAAGTTGCGTTGGCGCCGGAAGAGGCATATTCGAAGGGTGCATAGTAATCGGGGGCCTAACTAAGTCCGTGGGCGCTACGGAGAACAGGGACGGGTGTGTCATATGTGTTGACATTTCCTCTGGAGCTTCGTTGCTGGAAACTGTATACTGGCCCCATTGGAACTGAGGTTCCGAGACCATCTGCCCATGGTCGCTGGAAGATTGGGATGAATCTAGGCCATGCATTTCCATGAGGCCGGCAGGAGCATTTATCTGGTAGTTTGGCCATGGCCTTGAGGTTGTTGGAGGGGTGGGCTGTTGTGAGTTTTCCCGGTGTTGGTTGTACGGATGCATGATCTTCGCAGCTCGTTCATTCATCAAAGGAGATCCAGCAACAGATACCGGGGTGGGAAGCGAAGTATCATATGGCACGGAGTAATTAAACGGCGCAACCTAAATAGTTAGTAAATCATCGTATTCTTCATATAGTAGGGAGTTCAAGTTCAAATTCGAAACATACCGAAGCATAAGTAGTGGGGATATCGTGAGCATATCCAGAACTAGCTGGAGACACAGCAGATCGCCGGTCTTCAGGCATGTTCGAGTCTCGAGATAGACTATGGCGCATGTGGTCTGACCTAGAGTGAACGTATATGCTATCTTCCATCTCAAGGATAATATAATAGTTGGTTATTAGAAAATAAGTAAGTGGCAGTTGGCGACAGTAGAAGAAAAGGCGTAGAATTTATCGTGAAAACCAGGACAAGTGATTAGGGATGGAGGGTCCCTAGTTATTTGTATACAAGGATCGTCGAGTGCTCCACGAAGATGAGGTTACTTAAACTAAGAAATAGAAAATCTGCCTTTTGAGGTCCCGGCCAAGCGCGAGGCAAAACAAGGAGACGAAGGGGTATTATAGACAAACTCGGAGCCTTGCCCTCTACGGGTGGTCAAAATTGAGGTGGGAACCGAAGAACATATGTACGTCGTCGAAGGTGTTCCTGAAAACTTGGGTACACGCTCGAGTCCCAGGTTGTAGGAATAGCTCCACCATGCACAATAAGTAATGTACGAAGTACAGGGACAGGAATATACTACATGGTACTCTGGAAATATCCACATCTTTCCTCGAGGTACATCCTCGAAAGGCCGACATGGGTTAAAGTGACCGGGGCAAGTTATGTACATACTGAGGCTTGGATCTAACCATTACTGGGAGTGGCCCCAGTACTGACGCGTGTGGAGACGAGGTGGGAAGACGCATGAATAGCCGCCGCAACAAGTGTATGTGTAGAGCCATCACTTACTTTCTTCCCTAGTGGGTAGATTGGAAGACACCCTAGCCGTGCTAACAGATTCAAGAATCTCATCACCCAGGTCACTGAAGCAAGTCTATTAAGCGCTTCAAGTACGTTCAAGTATGGGGTTACATTGACCATACCATAGCTGTGAAATGTGAAAATAGAGACATCAAGCTTGTATTGTACATAAGGGCTTGCTTATGTAGGACCATAGCTAGGATAGTAGCGGGGTGATAGATGTGGCAGCTTTAGACGGAACTTTGGTATATCAAAGGGAATACGGGGCTGTAAGGCAGGCGTGGGAATCCCCTATGTAGGGCAAACGTTTTCATGAATACTCCCCGTCAATCTTGACTTGGAATTGAATATTAAGCGAGGGTGAGGAGAGGTATGTACCACAGACTGAGAACTTGAGGGGACCGTGTCGAGCACTGTCTGGATGTATAGCCAAGAGTTCAATATCCGTCAAGATACCAGATGTGTACTTGAAGCAAATCAGGTACGAAGTACATGAAAACTTATCAAGTTAGGTACCTAAGGTTACATCTAGTCTGAGCGGGTGTGGACCAGGGTTAATAGACCCAAGGACATGGCGTTGAAAACATGTGGAAGAGAACATCCCTAAATTGGGAGTCGATTGTAGCCGATCGTAAGAGGAAGGCTGACCAGAGCTTTTTGGAGATGACGAAGCTTGGTCTATCCCTTCAGTTAACAACAAGCCGACGTAAAAAGCGACTGTACACGCAGCAAAGTAGACACAAGGAGCCTCTAGCTTGTAGAATGCGCAAAGTCTTATAATTACTCTTGTTTCCCTACTGATAAGGCGTGGAGGCGAACGTGTAGAGCCATGTGCTTGGTCAATGAACACACTAGCCACATGAGCCTTTGCAGAAGAGATAGTTAGAGATATAAGTGGAAAAGATCTAAGTAAAAGTACCTAGACTACTGATGAGCGCCCGCCGCCACTCTTGTAAGAGTGGGATTGCATCTCTACGCCGATCAGTCAGTCTAAGATCCGAATATAGACCATGTTCTCTAGTGTATATCAAGAAGAAAATGAAATCATAACTATCCCATATGTTAAGATGCCTGATCCACAACTTGTAGATTGGTCGGTTTTGCGGGTTGGCTTTGTCATTTCCCTTCACCCGTGCTGCCGTGCTATGGTTTGTGGGGAAGTCGAGAAACGTAGATGAACGAATTAAAAGAAAATACAAGATATGGGGTTTTCGATTTAAGACGTTCTTACTACGCCTCACTCGGAATCCCCAGGCAAGAAAAGAAAGCGATGTAAAGCATCAGATAGGTCAATGTCTGAATTACAGCAAGGAGCCGCAATTCACCCGTGATGGTGATGAATCACGCCGGCGACCCCGTTTGATGGCTCTAACCATTTCCCGCAGAAAGGACAAAAGGGACTGCCCTGGTTTAGGAGGCAGCCTCTTGCGACGCGCAACGCCGAGGATTCATCCAGTTTGCAATTCGTTAGAAAGCGAGATGCTTCAATCGTCCGTTACATCGTCGCTAGGCGTATACACTAGTAAATCTGCCCGGCCACGGCGCGGCCCATTCCTCGACCGCGGTGGATAACGCCGGTCGGCGTTTGGCCGCGGCTCATCGCCTCGGAGTTCCAATCCGCGAGGGCTCGACCTACTATGTAAAATCAAGGGTCTCGGGATAGATTATCCGTGAAGGAAATAGGAATTACCTACCTACCTCGGCCGAAACCCGTCAATGGGCGAATCTCAAGCCGAGACGGTGAGCAAGCAAGTTGAAATTTGGAATTTGGAATTCCTATGTACGGAATACGTATTAGTGATCCCTTAGAGAATTTGGGGGTCCCTTTTTTTGGTTCTTGGTTCTTGGTTCTGGTTCTTGGAGAGAAGACAAGGGTATAAAGAGTGAGACGATTCGATGTTCGAATCGGTGAGTTAGTAATAGAATAGAACTTTGAGAAGGGCAGAAGGGGTGATTGAACTGGGGCACCTGGGCACGTTGAATATGGGCTGAGTTGATGCAAAAAAATGGGGGCGCAGTGTTCCCCCCGTTGCCCCACACCGCCTAGCTGAAAACAGAGTATCGTACCTGCTGTAACCTTGTACCTACTATACACTATAGGCATGTAAGTGTGCGTGTAGGTATGTATTTGATAGTTATAGTGGGCCCCTTCTTGAATACCCAAGGTAGTTCAAGGTAGGTAGTACACTACAAAAGTATATGTAATAAGAATACCTAATAAGTCAGCCAATCGCGGCATCTTGTAAAAAGAGAGGTACCGTACCTCTCCAATGCATAAAAGTCGAATGTTACAAATGTATGTAGCCTGACCTAATGCCTGTAAATGCCCGTTAAAAATGCTCTCTCGATATCTTACTACGTACGTCGTCGTAGATATCGCCGAACGGATTGCTCAAGATGCGGCCCAGGGCTATACATACATACATACCTACATGTACATACTTCGCATACACTATATCTACCTAACCTACGTGTACTACTTTAGAGCCGTTTACCGTCCCACAGGCCCACAGGCAGGGGAAACCGTCCCTAATATGCCGTTATACAGATCCGCTAGATAAACTATTCAATTCTGATCCAACAATATAAGGTTATTAGCGTTATTCGTGGGTACGCTAACAAGCCGTTGCACGTGTAGGAACAGATTATATGTAATTTTGTAATTTGTATACATATATTCAAGACGACGGCGCCATGTGCGGTGACATCGCCGATAAGGAGGGGTCCTTCATATTCGAGTACTTTTATTTTTCATTTTTTAAATCGGGTCTCGGCTGATAATAAAAACCTCAATGAGATTTTCAAGACTAAGCCCCCAAATGGTAGGTTGAGACCCTCTCTCTCTCTTTCTCTCTCTCGCTAGTACATTCCTGGGTACCTAACGTAGTAACGTGCTTAGTCGGGAGTGATAATCGTCCCGCATAGCATTCGGCTACATTGGCTACCGGCGGAAACACCACGGTAGGCAAAGAAAAATGGGTGGGGGGACAGAACCTCCTCCCCTCCGGTCGTCCCCAAAAGCCGATAGCTTATACAATATTATGCAACCCGGTGGTAGGACGAAGACGATGTGTTGTCGGTACCGACCGTACGGGACGCGCACAATGGATAATAAAACTGCAATCCCTATGGGTAGTTTGCGCTGTATGCGCTCCATTGCTGACTCGGCGCCGATGTACGAGTGTCGAGCAAGAGCCCAAAAGAGAAAGCGGGTGGCTTGATGGTGCGGTGGGTGTAAAGAGATTGTGACATGCCGACGGGACATGGATCAAATGACGGCAAGCCGGAGGGGACGGATGAAGGGTCCCATAGGGTCATTAAATGGGGAATACCTTAGGTACATGCATACCACGTACATACCACGTACATACCTGCTTTTGTTTTGCTTGGGGCTATAGCGATGTACCCTACTTGCAGCCCGCAAGGCTGGCCAAGTACCTTAGGTACCTACATGTTTAGGGAACTTTATTAGCGACAGTGCGAATAAATAGTGATGTGGATACCAAGTTAGGTAGGCTGGGCGGGGTGAAAAAGGTGGATCACGTTGCAAGCACAAGCGCTTAGCGCCTAAAACAAGGTGGCACTGCACATTGACCAAGCTCACCGCGAGTTCTTAGTGGCTAATCTCACACTAACCTCGCACCAAATATTAGTCGTTCCAGCCTGTCGGTAACCAATCAGATCCGGCCACACACCTCTCTCATACGAAAGTCGAGGCAAGCCTCGGTACCATCGCAGCATTATGTCAATGCTCTGCCCTCCTCTGCCATATCCGAAGGCTACGTGACGCTGACTTGAGATATATAAGGATTATATACACATGTAAGTAAGATCATGTATCATAAATTGATTGGGATTGATGCCAAGCGCTGTTTCCTATCAAATAATTAGCTGAGCTTCGAATGTCAGTCGGCCCGTCATCCCATCGTTTACAGGCAGCGATAAGGGTGTGTGGATAATAGAACGTCAGAACTTTAATTGGAGGTTTAGGTGGCTCGGCATATATTGTAGCGATCACAGAGCCTCTATCTATGTCCCTGGTTTTCTAAACGATAGGGCTGAGCAAAATGTATACTACGTGCGAGTTCGTATGTATGATAACTAACAATAACTAACAACCTGCGGTCCGGTCCGAATATAGAAAAGATCTGTTGGTTTCTAATCCCCGTGTTTGTCCCCCCATTGGATCAGCCCTATCGGGGGAGATCAGTGTTTAGGTAGGCGACGAGTTTATACGAAAGTGATCGCCGACTGAGTCCATTTTACACAACTTACTTACTCACCTTGCGACTAACCACGAGCCGGACGACTTCATCCGCGCGTTTAGCAAAAGCAATTATACCATATTCATCATCTGAGCCTCAAAATGTGTTAGTAGTCACACGGTAAGCGACCTTGGCACGACTTGTTCGAACCAACAAGTCTAAATAACCGCG